ATTTTTTGTTTTTTTTTTTTTTTTTTTTTTTTTTTTTTTTTTTTTTTTTTTTTTTTAATCGCAATGACTTTGATTAATTTTTGTTCAGTATTAATTTTAATTTATTGTTTTTGCATGTGTTAAATAATTTTATAGACTTTTCCATATAATTTGATGCCATTTTCAATAATTTACAAAGACTTAAATTTTTGTTTAATTGATATACTATTACTATGTTCTTTGTGCTTAAAATACAACTATAAAAAAAAGAAAAAAAAAACGATTGTGAAAATGTATCCTTTGTCTTTGTCTCTCAATGACATTTATATATAAATATATAATAATACTAATATTGTTGAATAAATGTTATCGTCACTATCGTCGTTAACAGGCATTATTGTGATAAGAATAGTCTAATTTTGTTTTGTTTTTGTTTTGTTTTTTTCTTTTTTTTTTCTAAGCATCCAAACGTAATTATCATATATTGTATACATGGCACCGCTACTCGTGAGCTAGTATTTTAGTAAAAAATTATAAATATTTTTAAAAAAATTAGTTTTTTGGTGCTATAAAGCAATTTTTTTAACATGTAATATTTTTTTTTGCGTTTTGTCAAATGATGTTACATACAATTAGGTTAAGTAGCCCAAGTAAAATGGTTTTTTTTTTTTATGATTATTTAAATTCTCAGCCCTATCGGTTAAGCATTATCATTATTATAATTACTTTAAAAATTCATATTATAATATATTTTAGACAAACATGTTATGTAATATTATGTCTGTCAGTGTTCACGTTATCGTTTGTAAAAGAAAAGTTTTTGTGTTTATTTTTTTCTCTGTTCATTTGTATGAAGTTATATATTTATGAATACTTAATACATTTGCATGTAATAATGCCGTACAATTGACCGGACTGTGATTTTGTTTTTTTGTTGTGCAATATGTTCCAATTCCTATGCAATTTCATAGTCCATTTTGTTGTAAATATTACCTAAAAAATACTTGTTTTTTTTTTAGAGATGTCCATAATTATTATATTGAAACAGCAATACTTAAGACATGTATTACTCTTCTTTATTTGAGTAGAAGATATAAAATATTTCAACATAATTTGGTTAAAAAAATGTGCTTTTACAGTGCCAATATGGTATGTTTTTGTACATTCTAAATGAGGTCTTTCATTGTTATTTGTAAGTATTCAAAGAGATTACAGATGATTATAGTTGCTTTAGTTTAAGAAAGTAAGAATTTAAATATGTATTCAACGTTAATACTTACACATAGAAAAAGATCAATTTTATATATGTTTACTAATATACATCTATTACACAAGATTATAGAGTTAATTTAAGAAAGTAAACAATTTAAATATGTATTAAAAACATTTATAGTTATACATAATAAAAGATCAACATTTTACTTATTTACTAATATACATCTATTTACAAAAACATTATGACTGTTGTTCATGGACTGAAATGGCACAACAAAGTATTTGATTGTCTTGGACTACGACTAGGAGTAAAGAAATTTAATTTGGAAAGTAGATTAGAACATTAAATGTTTCTGTTAAGTAATTTAAAAATGAATCACAGATCTGACCTTATTCGTTTTGTTCTAATGATTCGAAGTTTTAAAAAATGTCAATGATGTCTGATAAGAGGAGTGAGGTTGTCATCTGACATTACATCTAAGAGATACTATTCTCAGAAATTTTTGATTTTAATGTCTGCCGTATCTGGTCACAACACCTAACATGGATGACACATTGCTTTGTACACGTGTGCAATGAATATTAAAAGAGAGAGACTTGTTAAAATATATACCCACATCCTTAATCTGGTTGATATGAGTGAGTTCCAGTTCATTTAAAAAATAACTATGAAGGTATTGCGATCTATTTTTCAAAAAAGTCATTACTTTACATTTGCTAATATTAAGAGATCATTTATTTTGGCCACATTAAACACAGAGGTAGTTCAAGTTATTTTGAAGAATTTTAGTACCATTAGATGTTTTAATAATGCAAATAACTTTAAGATTGTCTACAAATAATAACGTGTGTGAATTAGAAAACAGTATCATTAACAAATAAATTAAGATTTTATCCTATTGAGGGACACTAGAAGTCACATTAAAGTAACTTCAACAAAAGTTTTTATATTTAACATATTGCTTCTTATCAGATATAAAATAGACTAGCCACGTAAGGGAAAGTTTTCGAAAACCTAGACATTGTAATTTGACAGGATATTATGATCGATTTCGTAAAATGTATTAAATTTGAAAAATCCGGAAATACTATGTCAACCTGGTGGCCTGATTTAAATACATCCAGGATATAATGTTGAAATATTAGACGATTTTTAGTTGTAGATCTACCTGATATAAAGCTATATTTATCAATATAATATTTTCAAATAATGGATTAATTATTTTAGACACAATATTTTCGAATATTTTTGGGATTATTGAAGTTGTTGAAATTGGTTGTTAATTGTTTACTTGACTAATATCGTTTCCCTCAAAAATGAGTGATACATAGCTAATTTTACATTTTTCCGGAAAGATGCCTGATGATAGTGATTTATTAAATAAATTTATTAAAGGAATAGTAGACAAATTTGTGTTCTATAAAAAATATAGTCAATATTTTGTCAAGACCTACACACTATATTTTTCTATTCAAGCAGTTTATATTTTCATAGATGTCACATAATTTCAACTCTGCACTCATTAAAATCAATAGCTAGCATATTACAATCAGAGTGGATCCAGAAAGTACAAATGGGGGGCTATACCTAGTCTGTTGTTTAAATACCTTAGAAAAATAACGACCTAAAAAGTTTGAAATCTCGTCTCCGTTAGAGTAAGCTAAATTATTATACGACATGGATGCTGGTAGAGCAGAATTCGAGCGTTTAGTATTTATAAATTTCCAAAATATATATAAATTTATTAGATTTGTTGATTAGTTATGGCTATAGAAATTTGAGTGCTTAAAATAAAATTATTATAATCAATTTTGTTTTTTGTCTCTTAAAAAGAGCACGGACGTTTGAAAAATTGTTTTAAATAGTTGGATTGGTGATTGTTTATATATTTTATGACTTATTTTTTTTTTAAATATTAGATTTTTTAATGTGCCACTAAACCATAATAAGTGCTTTGGAGTGTATAAGTATTTTTTTGGACATTGTAAATCGATAATTTTAAATATATTTTTATGGGAAATGTCAACTGCTTCATTTGAAGGAATTCAAACATTTATATAGGCCATTTTAGTCAATTAATATCACTTGCCTTAATTTTATTATAATCACAATTTTTTAAATCAAATGTGTTCCTTTTAATCTAAAAATTCTAAAAATAAAACAGGTAATTTAATTGACAGGGTAAGGTGATACATACGATCTAATGGCACAAGTGGACAAGTTACTTGGGATATATTTATATATTTACATTAGAACCAGAACGGTTTTATACCAAATTAAATTGTAACATATTTTAATATGAAAAACCAACAATATGTTTATATTAGTCAAGATTATTCACAGTTGTGAGATCAGGAGTAGCAATATTATTAAGAGATACCCAATTAATTTAAAGAATTATTTTGTATAAAACTGTCTATGACGCTAATATTATGTGAGTAACTCATATCAGATTTGGGCGGAAAATAAACAGAATAACATTAACGAATAGGTCTTAAAATTAATTTTCACTAATAGTTGTACAATTAAGCTTTTGGGTAGAGTAAATCGACGAGTAGCAAAATTCTTTACTGCGATAAGCATATCACCGTCTTAGCTGAACAATAAACACCACTCCCTTAGAGGAGTTGTATAAGGTATCACATACCTTAGATTATATAAAATGGATAAAACTACAGCTATACCTCATGTGAAACGAGTAAGTGGCCAAAATATCAAGAGGGCGTGTAGCTACTGCGCATGCGTCGGCCTCATCATAATACCATTATAACCTATATTGGATATTCGGATGTATATTTTACATAGGTAAGTGGTGTTGTATATTACAACTCTATGATTTATTGTTTTATCCATTATACATGATCTAAAACTACGATGATCACAGCGAAATAATTGATAATTGGGACAAAGCTAAGTTCACCGTCAATTACATATTCTGATAACCAGATTTCAGTTTGTACGATAATGTCATAATAATGAGAAAGAGTAAGGTTTTGTGTTTAATTAAAACTGATTTGGTTTTAATGCTACGAGTGTTTTGGTAGCATATAAAAGGTCATTTAGTCAATGTATGTTTGTTTTTTGAAATGGTTGGTAAGTCGTTTATATATTTAACAGATTATGTTTACCAGCGTCTTTTCTTGACTTTAACTCTGATAAAATAGTCGAGAGATATGTACGTTTGTAGCAGAGTTAGGTCGGACGAAATACAGATAGTATTTCGATTCATGGTAGGTAATAAGTTTTCATTTTACTTTTAACATTCTAAATAGATCAATAGAGCTAAGAAAGGTGGGTAACACGTGGAGGGCATGGCTTGCTGGAAATTACCCAAACGATGTACAGACACCGCCACACTGGGTTGACTAAGGCTCCTATGATGTTAAACACATATTTTGCGAAAGAAATATCTGATTGACCAAGTACGGATGCAGAGGCTTCAGGTATACATATTAAACAAAATAATATTGCGAGCTCTAGATTGCCGATTCAAAGGTAAACATTTTCCTGTATAGTAACAACCAAGAGTTCTGAATATTAAGCACGCTCAACTTAAGACAACTTAAGTTCCAGCTTTTCGACATTTCTAGCTTTACTTTTAATGATTTATTTTCATTAATCACATCAGATAGTTGGATAGATAGTAAGTCGAGTTTCGCGCCGAAGAACATGCATTTTTTATCTTGGGTTTTGATATACTTACGACATGAATATTTAAGGGACGAAATAATTTTATTCTGAGCATTTTTTAAATCATTAACCGTCTCGATGAGTTTATAATTTTTTTTATTTTAATTCTTAACGAGGATTTTAGTAGATAGCTTTTTAAGAGATTTAGATGCTACAGTTGAAACGATTTAAGCGTTAAATGTAATGTGTTTTGTAACCATTATAAATTATATTAATAACTCTAGTAATATCGTATCATAGTATTTCAACTTATAACTTAGCTATATAGTATCTATACTAATTAGATTGCGGGTCAAAGCGGCGTAGCTAACGAACACTTACTAGAGGCACCTGTGAGTTCGATAACGGTCAATGACGAACTTTATTACTATATTATTATTATTATCCCAATTACAGGGACCCAGTTTTATACCAGTTAATAACAATTAATAGATGTCCATTATTTAAATATCTACACTCTAAATTCTTGATTAGACAGGCTTTTTTGATAACAGACATGTAACATTCACAAAAGAACTTGTTCATTGAACAATTGATTTCTGAACGAAAATATGAGATGAATTATTGAATACATAGTCAATTGAACAAATAATGACTGGACCACTAAACGAATGCAGTACAAAATAGTATGTCTTATTTGCAAATGAATGGGCCAAGTTATACTCGCGTGAGTTAGTAGCATAACCATATGTTGACAACTTGTTGCCTGTTGGATATTGTTGGGTCACTCACCGAATTTTTTGGACATTATTTTTGCTGGTAAAGCTTTTTTAATGTGCTGCTTATTATACTCCAACAGCACAACTTTACAATAGTTACCTTTCTCTCGAATAAAAAATGTTAAGCCATATTTACACATATTTTCACTAAGTGAATCACAATCGTTTGTGGTTTCTCATCATATTTATAAAAAAAATACAAAGAAAACAAGAAAACAATTATATGTATTATATAAATATATTATCTCTATAACTTAAAAGTATTTAATTTATTTTAAAATGTTTGGTATATGTGTATATCTCAACAGAACCAAGTAATTATTTTGCATTAGACATTGGCAGTGGCGTACATTCAAATTTGATCTGGGGGGGGGGGGTTGAATAAAAANTTTGTTGATCGAGAGCATAGCTAGACCATTAAGTCTTCCCTATTAAAATTAATTACAACATTAAATTAAGTCGATTATAATCATTAATACTATTATTTAAATTAAACATACCTCAGAAGTAGAGTTGCGTAAGTAAGTTTTTCTTCTCTTGAGAGTTGAGAATGTCCTTTCATTAGTGGCAGAAGAAACTGGTAAAGTTGCTAATATTTTAAGTAAATTAAAAATATTTGGGTACATGGCTTCAATACATATGTAAATAGCGTCCAAAGCATTTTTTAGTTTATCCGTTTCTGATAGATATTTAAGTTATCGTTGCCAAAGTTTGAACTCATTTTTGAATACCTCATCACAATTTCCAATATCTTCCAGACCTTCACTATACTGTTTTGTAAGAGATATAAAAACCTCTTCATAACCACTTTCTGTAAATAAGGAATGGAAGCTTGTCAATGTACTTTGATGATTTGTAAATCTTTCTTCCAATTCATTAATGAATTTGTCTATGTATGGAATAAATACTGATACTCGATAAAATATTTCTGGATCGTTTGTTTGAATGTTACACCTGTTGGTTTGTCTTTTTGATATTCTTGGCTTGTTTATCGCAATGTCAATTTTCTCAGCCAGTGAATTTACACGTTCAAAAATGTCTCCAAATTCTTTTTCAGCATTCAATCTTATCTCTTTAAGTTCTTGTTTTGTGTTTAGTGCTAATGGCATAGCTTCTTTGAGATCTATACTTGTTTGCTGGAGAACTTTTGTTAAGACTAAACCTAATGCAAATACTTTATTCAAAACAAACAAGCAAATAATAAATTTGGAATTTAACATAGAGATTCTAAGTCAGAAATATCTTCCAAAGCTTCTTCAACATACTCAAAGAGTTCTAAAAAGTCATTAACGGCGTGGTATCTCTCAATCCAACGAGTCTCGCAACTTCTTTTAAGCGTTTTTTTAGATGGTGTTTCTGACGAGTTTTCTATTTTTTGAATTAGAAACGACTCCCGCTTTGGATAAATAAAAAAATCTCTGATTTGACTTATTGTCCCAAGACAATTGCGTATGGCTGGTACACTACAGGATTTAGAAACAGCTAAATTTAACGAGTGGGCTGAACAATGAACATATAGAGCATTTAGGTGAATTTCTTTAATGTGAGCCTGGACACCATTCAATTTTCCGGCCATTGCAGCTGCCCCGTCATATCCTTGCCCACGTAAATATTGAGTATTGATACCAAATTGTTTAAGATTTTTTAGGATTAAATTTGCTATTCCTTTACCAGTCATAGCATTAGTTGGTACAAATTGTAAAAATTCTTCAGTAAGTTTTAATGTGTTTGAGTTGATATATTTAACACATAGCGATACCTGTTCCACTCCTGAAATCCGCAGTTTCATCAGTAAGAATTGAAAAACATTTTGCTGTATTTACTCTAAAANGGTCGAGATAACGACAATATTAATATGTATTTATGTCCGCACGCAACTAACTGACTGTGTACGATCAAATGTCTATTTTGATTGATATACGGCACCCATAATTTCGTTATTAAAACTTTTTTCATTGTTGGTAAAGTATAGTGTTTACTTAATAGTCATATTATTATGACGTATGTTTGTATATACACAGATGATTAATAATAAGAAATTCATCAATAATATCACAATTTTTTTTTTTTGTTCCTGGGGGGGGGTTTGAACCCGAAAACCCCCCCGTATGTACGCCACTAGACATTGGTATAATATTGATCAATAAATTAGGAGACATTGCCGCGGTGAAATTACAAAATTTTAGTTTTTATACCATCATAGATATACTATTGCGTTGACCGATGTAGTTAAAATATTAAATACCACGGTTATTAAACGAATTTAAAAAAATACTGACATATCTACTTTGCACCGTAAAATCTATTCAGAATAAGAGCTCACCAGTCAAGCATTCAAAATTACACATTTCACTGCTGCTAGACTGGTTGAACCCGTACTGCCAAACCGTCGTACGTCGTACATTAAACATGCGTGCACTCACTAACTTTGACGTGTTTTTGTCTATCTCCGCGTGTGCTCTTATTCTGGATACAATATTACAGCTTTATTAAGTCACGAATTCGTAAACTTTAATGGTATGCCAATATTATGAAAAAATCAACTTGGATAAAAAACAATTTATAAACTAACATTTGTAATAATAATGGTAATGATAACAATAATCATTATTATTTCCAACGAAATGTAATATTAACAAACAGTTAGCGTAGCACGCTCTAACGGAGAATAAAAAATGTTTATTGTGAGAGCAATTACTCGGCAGATAGCACTAATATACGGTACATTTTGTCTTGAAATCGTTGGAAATATTGTTATTAATATAGTTCTGAATTTTTTTTCGACAAATCTTTTAATAGATAATAATTATATTATTCCTAGTAATTAGGACCTGAACCAATATGATGGTATTTATCGAAAATATTGGATAAAAATGTATACACAGTGGTTACTATAGTATACTATTAATGTAAATGAAAAAAAAATTTTTTTTTCTCTAACACGAGTTTTTAAGTACTTTGTAAGTGGATGTGGTTTAAATTTTCAAATATTCATATTTTCCCGCGCTTTAAGCATGACGTCATAATGCCGTACTCCTGTACTGGCCGTCGCGCGTTGGCATACTAAAATATTATTATTTTTATAGCGTTATCGCCACTTCTTACTTAGTTACCTTGCTATGTTACATGCGTATGTACGGCATTATAATTTATTAATATTATAATTTGTATTACTACATGGGTATTAATACACGAGTAGTATAAATGTTTATAATATTATTAGGTACATATTTATTAGTATTACCAATAATAATAATACAATATTATCGAATTATCACTTTTTTTTTAAGTTTTCATTATTTGAACTTCGTATCTTTGATCAACATATTATTACGCACATTTTAATTAATAAATATGCCAAGGGACTCAAAATACAAATATTGTTTTGTACCGAAGTGTACAAACACTTCGACAAATGCCCTAATAAAGTTTGGGTCTTTTCCAATAGCACTCAACTTCTGTGGGAGACTTTTCTTCAGATTTTATATGAACATACATGAGTAAAGCTAAACTGTGTTTACATCCACCTGTAAATAATAATAAAATCTTTGTTTACAACATTTAAGGACTAGTTATAATTAAATATAAATACCTACCTTATCAATAACTATAAATTATTTTCTATAGGTACACTTAACGTCACAAAATATTTATATAATGTAACATATTAAAATTCTCATAAAGATATGGATTCTATATAAATATATATATATATTATTATGCAGTCACCAACCTAAAGATGCTGCACAGTCATCACAATGTAAATCAACTATTTCTTCTTTTTCTTCATTTATTATTAAAGAAACATGGTAATTTTTATTTCTAAATCTATGTTCAGGACAAATTTGAGCCTTAACATTACATATAGATCCTTCCCTTTTTATTTGAACATATCCAATAGCTGAATCTCCATAATTTTCTCTTGATGATCTAATGAAAATATATAAAAAATAATCAGCTCATCTATATATTTTATTAAAAATAATCTAGTTTTTAACTACATATTAGTAATTAGCATTCTTAAATATTTATATTCAGGTAATTTAATTATTTAAATATTATAAATATTATTTGTATTAGGAAACAAAAAACTAGCAGTGATAATAAATAATAATAGGTACACACCTTTGAGGTTTTGATCCCCTAATTTCAGGATCATTGAAGCAATCATTATTTTTTATGTATTGTGTTATACAAAAAATGTCAAGTTTTGGTAAGTTTATAGATGTACCTTTGACATAATCTTTACTGACACTTACAGCCATCGTTATTCATTTATAAAAAAAATTACTATAATATATACATATAAGACAATACACTATACACATTGACATTAGTATTTACAATTTATTTTCTGCTGAAAGTGATAATGACGATACTGTCAATAGAATTTGTGTCGAATTATTCGATTTACGTAAGTTATTTTAGTACAGTCATAATATTATATACGCGCATTGACATATAATTAGACGCACGGGCGTACGGCATCGTGACGTCACACACCAACTGAATGGACCACGCCTTCTCAAACAGAGAAATGTATGTTTGGAGAGCTATTAGTCCTACAGATCGAAATAAAACGAAAAATTTACAAATATATTTTCGTTTTTAATTGGTATGTAGAATACGAAAAACAAAGAAAAATTTTTTTGTCCAGGTCCTAATTCTATTATTAATTATGAATTGATTCAAAAATTATTGTTTGTGACGAAAATTAGTGGTCAATGGTCACATTTGTATAATATCGTCAATAACCAAAACATTATTCAATTGCTTATGCGTAATGGAACATTTTAATTAGATATAACTGTAATATAGTATAGGAATTAATAATTACCTACCTAGGTATAGATTAAACTCCAGACATAATATAATATAAATAATTAAACTATTAATCTTATAAGTAGATACAGGAGCTATACAATTTAATAAGACGTAAATGATATAATATATTATACTAGTGTGGTTTAAAAACAAAGTTTATATGCAGTCACTTTGAAATTTTCATTAATGTCACTTCAGCGATTTACAGTGTCTATTAAATTTTTGTCATCTTCGGATTTAAATTATTAAAGTCGTTATAAGGGATATAAAATATCATTGATAAAACTATTCAGAATATTGTCCAAGTAGGGACAAATATTATAAATATGAAGGTATTAATATTATCAGTTAAATATCATACAGTGAAATATATTTGAGGAAATACATTTTTAATATTTTAAGACGAAAAGGACGAAAACAATCAATTCTTTAACATTTTTATTATTAATTAAAATACATCTTTTTTTCCATATAAATACTATAGTTTAAAATTTTTTTTATACATATTTTGTTTTTTGTTTGTTTTTAAATACATATATCAGAAAATAGAGAAATACGAGACAAACTTCTGACAAAAAAGAGGCAAAAAGATAAAAAAAAAAAATTAATATCATTGTAAAAATATAAGCTTCTTCAATCAATTCAGAGTATATATATATACAAAAAACATAAAAAGTACTTATGATTATTGACCTTTAACAATTATCAGGTTGAATCGAATCGAATACCACGGCTATGAATAATACTAAAACGAGGACTGATAAAAATACTGCATGAGAAAAATATATTATTCGGTGTCTGTTTCACGTTTTTGAAGATAAACAATGGTTGAATTAACACATCTTGAATTCCACGTCGATTAGAACAAGCAACACTGACACGGGCTCATTGACCAAATTGAACCATAAATTTACAAGTCGATCAATAAGCTCAGGTCAAAGTTTATGCCACTTGATGAGTATTCTTTTTTTCCAATTGTTTTTTAACGTGCATCAAAATTAAGGGATAAACAATATGGAAACACAATCGTACAGTATTATTTTTCGCGGTAAATATACATATTAAAACCATGATGATTAGATCTATATCACTGTAAACTGATTGTTTTTGAATAATACATTTGTGCATGACGTAATTCATCGGAATAATTAGATGGTTATAATACAAACTAGATATTGAACTAATATAGATATTTCAATTATGAACGAAAATGTGAGTACATGCGTTTATTTGTAGATATTAGTTATCCTGTTTTCAATGAAACATTTCTTCTGTTTCGCTTTAATCGAGAGCCGTTTCTGCCTTTCCATGCTCCCGGGTTACACATCTTGTTTACATTAATGAGTTGAATTCTTCGAAAATATGGACATACCATTATACATCTACAAAATATTACAGTGTTAATAATACCGCATCAAAAAAAAAGCGTGTAAGATGATTATAAAAAAAATTTTTAAATCTTCGTTTCCAAGTTAAATATTTACATTAAAAACATAATGCAATATATAATTACTGTAAAACTAATTGTTTTTCACAACAATAGTGAGAATGACTTAATTATTGTCGAGAAATGTAGAAAACTTTATTAATATTAGGAAATAAAAACATAGAAACCTAAGTATCGTTTCTCGGTTAGGTAAATTTAATACATTCATTGTGTTTATGAAGTAAATAAAGACGATTCATGTAATAGTTAAATTTTTTTTTTTAAATTATTCAATTGATTTAAATATTGTAGTAATGTAAAAAAAGACAGCGTTTACCTACCAAATCAAAATGATTAATATCTATATTATTTACATTTATTAAACTGTAGTTTTTAACTATAAATATGAAGGTTATTTTTGTTTGTATTTTTTGAAACAATGTATGTTCAGATTCAAAATTGATAAGTTACATAAAGCACAAATGACTATTAGAGAAGATGGGTTCTCAGTTTTGGGACATATTGCGCAGAGAATTTGGACATCATTTACAGGAGGATGGTACTACAAACCAAAACACAGTATTTTTACCTATACAGTCCATCTATATTTGTCGATCATATTAATTTCTTTACCATTTTTTATACATTTGGTAATTTTTTCATGGTTTTTACTCAATTAAACAATTGTATATAACAAATATGTACTTTTGTTTTACAGTATTTATCAGATATGTTAATATGGATCCTGTATTCGAGTACTGTAAGTTTAATAATAACAATTATAAAACTTGTAAATTGCATCACATGTTCGATACAACCCGAATACATTGTAGAAGAAGACACCTAAATGGATAGCAATATAGAACTTGAATGTCGCCGCCCTCCCATTAAAGAACCGAATAAGTAATATTCTGGGAATATAAACTAATTTGTTTATAAAAATATTATATTGGTTTATAATTTTAGGGAAGAAGAGGGCATTAAAATGCAAGTTCTCAATGGAAGGAAATGTACTGACAGAAATGAACCATCAACATCTGATATAATATATCATCAAAATGAACCTAGTAAAATATTATATGCTTTAAAGTAATTGACTTGGAAAAATAAAAACATGTAAGTTAAATTTGTATAGCTGTTGAAAGACAAAGTAGTTCTACAAGTACTGATTCTGGATTACAACTCCAAGAGAAAATTAAAGGTGATTGGCCTAATAAAAGTTTAAGTATGTCATATCAACTATTGGGTTAAGGCTAAAACCCAAAATGCATAACAAATATTTGATGGTATAGCGTCAATGATAACATTATTTACAAATTATTTAGTTCAGCAACTAATTTGTGTCCTTGACTCAGTCAAATATTTTTTTATAGCTGTATATTATTTTATGATGTGTAATCAAGGTGCAACTAGACCACTAACTTTGTGGGTAGTAATATTATAGATTTATCACAGCCTTGTTCCCACAATCCCCTTTAGATGACATTTATAATCAACAACTACACGTTTCATTTTCAATTTTTTTTTTTTTTGTCTGTAGGTAAGCTGTATTTGTACTGCTTATTAATTATGAAATACGTGGATAAAATATTAAGTACTATAAAAAAAACTTATTGGGTAATTTTGTGGGTACTAATTTACTAATTATAAACTAGAAGGTGCTGAAGACCTGCTACGGCTCTCCTAGTAGTGCCTATGTTTATATTATAATAATGAATTAATAGTTCAATAAATCTTCTATTTAGTAACTCGCAAATGATTGGCACGTACCAAAACTGCCGAATCTCTGTAAACACAGCTAATGACTGTTCAAACACAATAATATGATACTATTGGCAATATAAGATACAATCGATATCTTTCAATACACATTCATTCCAATTATTTGAGGTTGTTCATCCTGGTCCTAAACTTTATCTTGACTAGATCTTTCACTTTTTATATACTCGATGAATTTATATAATTCTTATCAGATCCAACCAGATGTTTTTCGGTTTTCCTCTTTCCCTTTTGGTTAAAATTCGTACAGCTTATGATTCATCTCTTCTCATGACATAACCAAACAATCTAAATCTTTTTTCCCCTCATTTTTGTATAATCAAAGCCATGCCAATTCTACCTTTTATTGTCATTAGCTGTCTTGTTTTGTTCCTCTAAACTCATACTTTCATAAGTACTGCTTTATTTTCACTTATCCTTTAGATAAAGATGTTTCTTTTATTCGAGTGCTACTCTTAAATCCTTAAAATTATTGCTATTTCCAATTTTTCTTCTATTTAAGCTGTATCATCTGCAAACACTAAAGATGTTTAATAATGTTTAAATAATGCCTATATGAGGTAGGTAATTAAGACTTAAATTTACCAAATATATATATATATATTTTTTTGACCTTAAGCTTCATCAATTATACAATAATTTTTATAAATAACTGATAATAAAAAAAAATAATAATAATCTTAGACTATTTGAGTATACTTCAAATGACTCATATATAACATAAACAATAATTATTATAAAATATATTATAATGTTTGCAATATGTATAATAATTATAATACATATTTAGATTGTATAAATAAAATTATTTTTATATTAATTGCTCTATCTGCTGTAGTAGATGACAAATAGGGTTGTGTTATGTTAACAGCCAGTGCAAAATTATGTCAAACATTATGAGGAGTTCTAAGCATAGTGTTTGCAGATGATACAGCTTAAATAGAAGAAAAATTGGAAATAGCAATAATTTTAAGGATTTAAGAGTAGCACTCGAATAAAAGAAACATCTTTATCTAAAGGATAAGTGAAAATAAAGCAGTACTTATGAAAGTATGAGTTTAGAGGAACAAAACAAGACAGCTAATGACAATAAAAGGTAGAATTGGCATGGCTTTGATTATACAAAAATGAGGGGAAAAAAGATTTAGATTGTTTGGTTATGTCATGAGAAGAGATGAATCATAAGCTGTACGAATTTTAACCAAAAGGGAAAGAGGAAAACCGAAAAACATCTGGTTGGATCTGATAAGAATTATATAAATTCNCCAATAGTATCATATTATTGTGTTTGAACAGTCATTAGCTGTGTTTACAGAGATTCGGCAGTTTTGGTACGTGCCAATCATTTGCGAGTTACTAAATAGAAGATTTATTGAACTATTAATTCATTATTATAATATAAACATAGGCACTACTAGGAGAGCCGTAGCAGGTCTTCAGCACCTTCTAGTTTATAATTAGTAAATTAGTACCCACAAAATTACCCAATAAGTTTTTTTTATAGTACTTAATATTTTATCCACGTATTTCATAATTAATAAGCAGTACAAATACAGCTTACCTACAGACAAAAAAAAAAAAAATTGAAAATGAAACGTGTAGTTGTTGATTATAAATGTCATCTAAAGGGGATTGTGGGAACAAGGCTGTGATAAATCTATAATATTACTACCCACAAAGTTAGTGGTCTAGTTGCACCTTGATTACACATCATAAAATAATATACAGCTATAAAAAAATATTTGACTGAGTCAAGGACACAAATTAGTTGCTGAACTAAATAATTTGTAAATAATGTTATCATTGACGCTATACCATCAAATATTTGTTATGCATTTTGGGTTTTAGCCTTAAATGCTAATTTTTTTAATTAATATATATTTAAAGAACAGTATTAATTAGATAGTTAAAATGAAAAAAATTATTTTTAATGTAGTCTTTGTACCTAATAATTAAAGAGTTAAATTTTCAGAATGAAATACAATTTTTTTATTTTTTATTTTTACTTATATTGAATTTGTATTTTTGTTTATTGTTATTATAATTATATCACTAAATATTTTCACCTAAACCATATGCTATATATAAAAAAAAATTTGTAAGGTTTTAAACATATTTTAAATGGTTCTTAATCAATAATAAACTTTAAATTTTATTTAATTAAATTTTAAACTACTTTCTTTTTTTTAAAAATATACGTACAATATATTTGTTAAAATACTAATTTTCTACGACATTTTGATGTTCCCTATTTTTAACAAATAAATAACTTTTTGCATTAATTGAATGATTTATAATAGCAATTCTTTTTAATTTTATGTCAACGTGCAAAATAGTTCATAAAACTATTTCAAAACAGTTTGTCAATTAGCACATTTTCATGTAAATATTGTTAAGTATTAAATACTGAATATGTGCCCATAAAGAACAATGAATGTATCAATTGAAATTTTTCACAATACCAAAATGTTAATATAAAAAATTGTTTAGTATAATCTTAATCACGAAGGCATATATCATAATAGTAAAATTAACTAGAGAAATCAAAACAGATATTATGACTTGTATAAATAAATAAAAAGGTGATCTACTGCCAGCTTCATCATCATCATCGCTATCAATTGCAGTGTGTATTTTACCACGACTAGAACAATGCTCTTCACAGTGTTCAACAATTGGGTAATCAATATCACTTGACGTAAATACAAGTTGATAACTGGATGTTCTTCCTACTTCTGATATTAAAGTTTATTTATATTAATCCGAATAAAATAAATGTAGACAAGTTATTTATACCTTTATCTTTAGTAAAAGCATCACTAAAATTTGAATAGTCTGAACTAGTATATTTTGAATCTCTTTTGAATGCCAAATGGTTATTTTCATTGGTAAAGCAGTCCTATTCAAATAAATGTATTGAATAATTATTTCTGTAAACTATTATAAATCATACAATATTTTTAGTTTAAACTGACCGTAGAAAGTGTAATGAAGTCTTGTCCCCGGTCATCTTGATATTTTCATATTTCTGAAAAACTTTGCAAATCTCCACGGCCATAACGTCTACTTCCAACTCCATCTTTTGTTTTTTAAAAAAAAATTTGACTATCTACATTCAAATAAATATAATTCAGAACTACAGTAGTACCCAAATTAGGAATCAAGTTAGGATTTTTTAAATCTTAGTTTCCAAGTTAAATATTTACATTAAAGCCATAATGCAATTTGTAATTGCTGTAAAACTAATTGTTTTTTCACAACAATGGTGAGAATGACGTAATTATTGTTGAGATTTATAGAAAACTTTATTAATATTAGGAAATAAAAACATCGAAACCTAAGTATCATTTCTCAGTTAATACATTCATCGTGTTTATGAAGTAAATAAAGACGATTCATGTAATTGTTTCCTTTAATTTTTCAAATTATTTATTTGATTTAAATATTGTAGTAATGTAAAAAAAGACCGCGTTTATCTACCAAATCAAAATTATTAATATTGACCTTAATATCTATTTTATTTACATTTACTATGCTACTATTTACGCAAAACGCTTTAACATGTCTAATTGGTATAACCATATTAGTTGCATATAATTTAGATGTTTAAGTTATTTTTTAAAATAAACCTTTTTTTAGACTGCATACAATTTGCAGATAGTAGATTTGAATTTCCCATAAATTATGAATGATAAAATTACATATTTAGAATATACAATTATATGTTAACAGTTGCCACACTATTTTCAATGAAATATTCAATATATTTTGCGTGAATCCCTTATCGTTTCTTCTTATCCTATGCTCCAGAGATAAATATATTGTTTGCAATCAATGAATTGAATACGTGCACGTTGTTGACATACCGCTAAAATTCTGGAAAATATTATTGTGTTAATTAAACCTGTATCAAAATTAAGAGTATTATTAAAATATAAAAAAAAATTTTACATTTTTATGTTTTACTTTTTATACATACATTACTTCCAAACTGTGATACTCAAGTAACTGTACAACCATTTGTTGTGTATAATGCAATTTTAATGTGATTTTTTATGTTGTAAACGTATGAGTCTTTTCTATTCATTAAAGATTTATACATTGCATATTCCTAAAAGAAAAAAAAGATAAGGTTTAATATAAATAAATCATAAGAAGTACATTTAATCACCGTGCTTTGAACAATTATCAGGTTGAATCAAATTCAATCCCTCGGCTATGAATAATACTAAAACGAATCACCTTAGGACTATTAAAAATACTGCATGAGAAAAATACATTATTCGGTGTCTGTTTCGTGTCTTTGAAGATAAACAATGGTTGAATCAACACATCTTGAATCCCTCGTCGATTAGAACATGTATCACTGACACGGGCTCATTGACCAAATTGAACCATAAATTTACAAGTCGGTCAATAAGCTCAGGTCATTGTTAATGTCACTTAATGAGTATTCTTATTTTCAATTGTTTTTTAAAATATACTACATTAAGCATGTTTTGTGCAATTTTAAATTTTTTTCTGCTTTCAATTCACAGCTCTGATAATAATAATCATTTTATGTTAGTTATGGAGTGAGTGTTTATTATTATGTTTTAGAATTACTTACATTTTTTTTTGCATTATATCTGATATTAATATCGTTTTACAATGTTTCATTTGTATCCTTGATAAGAACGGTTACTCAAAAAAAATGTTATTTGGCATTATAATTTTATGTGTGTTATATTTATTTTTTGTTATTATATTGACCAGAGGTAATTAAATAAGATAAATGACTTTTTCAAAAAACTTTACTCTTTTCATCAGCATTCACGTTCCACCACTGCTAATTCGTTAAAAAGTATTATAAGTACTCCACTCGTTTTGTGTCTTACGTTTAAAATGACAAGCAAAGTAACATAGAGTTACAGAGTTACTATTTTGACAGATTTTAATATTAATGATTTATAATGTTTGACTAAACAGTTGGAACTTCTATTGTACATATTTTTATATTTCGATTCAAATTCTTCGTTTAAGCTAAGATCGTGCATTCCTGAACAATATTTTCTTTTTCACATTCGCATTCATCTAAACTATTTTTGTTTTAGCCACCCTCGTTCCAAATTTCCATTTGACACGATCTTACACCCCGCAGTTACCGCCTGTCCTATGATTTTTCTCGATCGCATCCAACCACCTCTTTTCAATGTTTTTTATCGTCCTCTTTTTTTCTAGGTTTATTTTTATTACAATTCTTACTGCTTTTGTTTTTCTCTCTCTATAACATGTCCTAACCATCTCAATCTATTTTATCTCATTTGTTTACTATTGAAGCCTTACCTAAGCTACATCCTATATACTCACCCCTTATTCTAACTTAGCTCCTTACTCCACTTATTTACCTTAGTATTCCAATCCCTGATAAACTGTATTTCAATTTTTACTGTCCATTCATAAAGTCTTTTGTCAACTTGTTCTAGATTTTTTCCTATTCAAGTTTTATCATTAACAAATATCATGCACGTGTAACTCCTTTCATTTGTTGTCCCAGTACAGATCCAAATGTTCTGTAGAATTCCTCATACTGTTTGCCAGAATTTTACACCGGCTCTCGACCTTACGCAACCCCATTTGTCGCCTCTTACGACAGGTAGAGGTACCGTGGGAGTATTCTAATCCCCTCCCACAGGGAAAATGATATTGTCACCTATGGTTTATTGTGTAAAGTGAATTCGACTACTTAACAAAAATAAACAATACGCCAAATAGAATCATTCACTTAGGCTTTCACCAATTGGAGCTTGAGACTCCGGGTTCGCTAAACTTGTAGTCTCATATGGTCTTCTGAGGTATATTACCTCAAAATATAATATTGTATACATATTACAATTATTTTTATCATAGTAATATAAATCCAAAGATAATAAATGTACGTATTTATCACGTGAAATATAATTTCAACTACAATACCATTAAAACCATGACACATTTCAAAAAATTAATAAATCTATGTAGGTAGGCCTATTATTTGCATAAAATATTAAGTACGAAACAACCCAAAACATAATATTCTAATTAAATTTTAATTAGTTTTAATCATTAATATTTGATTTTTCCCGTAGCTTTCCAAATAGGAAATAATAATTACGAATAACCAACAAATATATTCAATTATATTAATGATTATTTTTGATTTTGTTTAATTTTTTTTATTTTAAAATTCAGTTCAAATTAACCGTAGATACCTGAACATTTCACAGAATACGTCTTAAATTAGCCAATATACAATTTAAAATGTTGTTAATATATTAATTATTTTAATTAGTTATGGATTTATGCAATTAATTATATCTATATGTATTTTTGACAAAATTTTATATAATAATTATTATTTTGTTTATAATTCATAATTTATTCTAAAAATATCTAACTGTTGTGTTCAATAGATGTATTTTTATAAATTCTTTATTTATAATTATTACTGATTACCCTGATAGGGTTATCTCACTGGCGTATACACTATTTAGAATTTTTCTATGGGTAGAGGACGAATTTTATTTGATAGGGCTATAAGGGAGGGCTACGCCCCCCCCTCATTAATTTGTACATCAGCAATTCACTTTCCATAACAATAAATTATGTTTTTTCAAATTAACAAAATACTGTAACATAAACATTAATATATATTTATTGAATTTTTATTTTTATACTTTATATTTTTATTTTCAATTATTTGTAAAGTATGAAGTAGGTACTTATTATTGAAGTTATTTTTATATAAGCAAGCTTTTTATTACGAATTCGTTAAAAACTATAAAATATTTAGAAAATATTAACTAGATTATGTGAAAATGGTAATTTAATTATTCTAAACTTTTGTTATACTTTAATTTTTACGAGTCATAGTTATATATTTAAAATCTAAACAGTCGAAAACATATTTTAATTTTTAATTTAATGATAACAACTGTGTTTTTCGATTGCTGCCAAAACTTTATAGTATGATTATAGATTCACTCTTGTCGTCCACTATATCAGGCTATACACCCCCACGGTAGTACCACTTTATGGGTCACACTGTAGGCCGTGGTGATGATATAACTTTCAACAAGAACTAACTGAGGTATGGTTATTTTATCACGATGACCGTGTATTTTACACTATTAACATAAATTATAAAACTACAGATTTTATTTGTTTTTGTTGATTAAAAGTTATCAATTAGTTTCTAAACATAAGGATAAATTAATATAATTTAATAATATACGAGTATGTATACAAAAAATCACTGGGTGGATCTATACCCATTATTCGCCCCATAAATACACAATATTGGATAACTTAGGTACGTTTTCAATTGACATTATAATATGCGTATAAAGTTTGCGATTATCAAAAATATACGTATAAAATATAGGGACTTATAAGTTATAATAATAATAGTAATTATGATAATAATCTTTTTTTATTCTAGATAGAAGTTCCAATATTAACATAGTTAAAAATATTTACACAAGACCATTTCTATTATTTGAGGTATAATTATTGTAATTTAACCATATAAATAATAATAAAAAAAAATTAATAATAATAATACAAAAAATACGTAAATAAAAATAAAATTAATGATACACTTTCTTTAATAATTTATATTTGACGCTTAATTGTTGAAATATTAAACTTAATTTTTTAGTAGGTTGTACATATACATGTACTACGGAATTTGCAGTGTAAGTTATATTAGGTTAAGTATAATGAGATACAATAATATTTATGAGTTTTACGATATTTATGATAATATTACGAAGGTAAAATTTTCGTAAATGATTTTTTAGTTTTAATTTAAACGGTCAAATGTTCCTGGTGGACAGCAATGATCTGCTTAGAATTCTACAGCGGCCACTTCTGCGGGGTTGAACGAGCAAACCTCGCTAATAGCCGGGATAACCTGTTCAGATTGCTTCATCGTGTCTTTGATTGGTTCAAAGGCCTTCTCTTCGCGGTACAAAGACCAAACCTTGTCGATAACCGGCATTGTCTTTGCATGATCCAAGTAACATAACTGGATAATATACGCCATTTTTCTGTTGTATTTGTATACGCGGGCCTGTTTGGTAGCATTAACGCGACATTTCTTGCAAGGAATCAACTTCCTATTCATAACCTGAATTAACTTCCATTCGGTCCTTTGGCCACAAATGCAATAGCGCCATGGTGACTTTTTAATGACTTTATTGTGCACTTGTTGTAAGTGACGGGTATAACTATGAAACATTACAAACTTTTGGTCACAATACAGGCAGTTATAAAATTCTATCTTTTTCTTTTGATCACATGGTGGTTCTAAGGTGACATTCTTCTGACAAGTTGTCGTGTGGGTTTTCGTGAGTGTTTTTATGCGGGTTTCTGAATAACGGATATCGATTTCCGATTTAAGTTTTGAGTCCGGGTAAGTGATTAAATTGTCTTTATCCTCAAGACTGAAACAATCAATATTGGTACAGTTAAAAGAAAAAACCTTATTTGAGTGATGGCTTAACATACATAGTACGATTGAGTGTGTAGCTCATTGGGGAAAAGAGTGAAAGGGGGATATATTCTCCTTGGAAATATGAAAACTCGCTTTTATTGAGCTTTGGTGTATAACACACAACCAATGAATCAATGATTATTGATTCACTCTCTCGTATAATGGACCTATGATAACTCTATTGGCTATAACATAACCAAATTTTATGTACAGATCTTGTATTCTTATATTTATGCATCTAAAAATATACAGGCCGTAAGTATAGTGTTATCCTTTTACTAATAATTCTGTCAATATTTATTTTTTTTTTCAATCAAATTTTGTGCGAGAAGAGCGTATATGTGGAGAAAAATTAAATTTTTATTTTTGTCCTTTAATTACATATGGAAAAAAATAATTTTTATTTTATTATTTTTCAAAATTTTCAAAATGGCTATTTTGTAAAAGAAATTGTTTAAAAATTTTAATGTAACATATATTCATATCCATTTAATATTAATAGCCTTATTAATTGGTATGAAAATAATGAGTATTCGATAGAAAATAAGAAATTACCTTACTGATTGTGATTCCTTCTCGCATAACATGTTATTCTAGAATATATTTTACAAAATGGTTATTTTGTAAATTTTGAAAAGTGGAAATATAAAAAGTTATTTTTTTTCAGTGATAAAGGATGAAAATAAAAATTTAATTTTGTTCAACATATTTATAGGACTAAATACCGTCATAATCAAATACATTTCTTATGAAATAATTCTTGAATGAAATATTTTTTGGGAGTAGAAAGAGTGAACTTTCTAATACTATGTGTTGTGGCATTGTTAGTGATATTTACATGTAGGTAAAATATTAGTTTGCTGCTCCTAAAATGTTGATACTATAATTAACTAGAATCGCAGAGGGAACTGAGTTTTAAAAAAGTATAATGATTTATTTAAAACAACAAATTCTCACCTCATTTTCATTACTTCGTTATCAAACGGATGAGTATATTTTGTAGGTTTTGTATTTTCTATATACGAGTAATTGTTTTTGTAGAATATATTGTTGAATACTTCGTTTTCAATGAGGTTTCCTTCCTAAAAAATATAATTGTATTAATTATCAAAATTATGGTTATTTTTTAAATAATATAATAATATACATAAATAATAAATACAACAGATTTAATTTCATTATTTTATCATTTTAATAAAAACAATAATATACAAAATAGTAACTTTTAACTAGACAAGACATGAGATGTGAATAACATGTTTTTACAAATATTGTTTAATAGCGTACTTATATTATCTCTGAAGAAGTTAGAAAAAAAAAATTAAAAAGTCAGAACAAACCACTAGCTTTACCAATACATCTTTGTTTAATAGGTACCGTGTTTTTAATTTTTGCATAGGTATGTCTATAGATTTTAGTGTATATTCAACACGACATTGATAATATAATAAAACCAAAATGTCTACAATTTACATTACTTAAAATGCACACATTACAATTATATGGCATATTCTAAAAGTTATCATAGACTAATTATTGGAATACAAATACTACCTTTATGTAACTATACCTACACAAATATTAGGTGCTAAGAAGTGTACAATGTCTATGATGAATTAATCAAGTTTATTTATTTTATTTATGGCAACTCACATTGAAACATTGTATTTAAAAAAAAACCTATACACGGAACTATAAAACAATAACTTATTATTATTATTTTACAAACAATGATAATGATTGAAGAATATAGTATTTGAACAAAAATACTGCATAAAGAATATTATACAATTTGTAAGTGTTAGAGGCTGCATACTAGTTGCAGACAAATTTTTCTGGCCCTATAACATAACAATTAAAGACACGGATTAGGTTATCAACATATCAATTGCAGGCATCAATTTAAAAAATATATGGAAGTTGTGGACTTAAACTAAAAAGGTGACATACGAATATTGTGGACACAAATATTTCTTTTCGCCACTTCTTCAAGACTCTGGACAAGTGAATTCACTACGATTTTTGACAGCCATACAGTGGAATATAAATGTACTGCATGCGAACGCTTTGGTCAAATTAGCCTATTATTTTAATCACTGGAAAATTTGACCAGAGAGTTTCAGATGCAATACATACTGTGTCGGTCACCTAACAAAATAATCTTATCATTACTAATTTAATATTTATATTTAACAACTATATTATCGTGAAAAATTAAGATTATCGTAATATAATATATTAACATATAAATACAACAAATGTAATTTCATTATTTTATAATTATAATAAAAACAATATTATTCAAATTAAGAAATTTTGACTAGACGTGACAATATTAGCGACTGTCACGTTACACAAATATTATATAATAACGTATACATTACGATCTGAAGTCATTAGACAAAATAAATAAATAGGTTCAAATTAAAACAAACTACTAGCTTTAATAAAACGCCTGTATGCCGCATAATACCGTGTACCTAATTTTTGCATATATAAGCATATAGGGTTTTGTGTGTTCAATACCACATTAATAATATAATAGTATAATAGACATTTTTATGGTTTACATCACGCAAAATACACATATTACAACTATACGGCATATTCTAAATGTTATAACTGAATTGTTTAGAATACAAATACATATTTATTATCTAAACTACCTATACAGGATGATTCACTAAGCGTAATCCTCCATTTTTTTTTTGGTTAAATGTTCCATGTATTTAAATTTTGGTTTTTGAAATTTTTAGTGCATTTAAGGCTGATATTTTCGAATAATTAGATTTTTGACAACATTTAAGGAGTTTCCAATCAGCACTAATCAGACACCGCGTGCCATGCCACCATAAAAATTGTATTCCACTCTACTCTTGCCCTAGCTAAACTTTGACACCAAAATTGATTTAAAGTAATACTCCGTCTATTTATGGAATTTTGAATACAAGTTTTTCTTTGAAAATCCAAAGCCTCACCACAGGATACTCCCTATTATAGTGAAAATCTAAATATTCGAAAATCGGCTTTAATTACAATTAAAAATTCCAAAAAATCAGATTTTGAATATATACAAAAATTAAACAAAAAAATTAGGTAAGTACGCTTAGTGAATTATTTTATATAAATATAACTACTAGAGATGTAATAAACCCTGATTTTTAAGATCAAACCGAACCGAAAATACATACTTTTTTTGAATCAGTACCAAACCGAACTGTCCCACTACAGAAAATCGTATTAGTGACCGTGCAGAATCGGTTTTGGATGATTTTTGAACCAAATTATTGGGTATTTGGTTCGGTTCGATTATTTGCAATTTTCAGTTCGAAAATCGAACAGTTTGTCACATTTCTAATTACCACCTACACAAATAATAGATGCTAAAAAGCTCAAAATATCAATAATCAACCCAAACTCCGTTTATAATCGTTTTTTATTTGTAACGATATGATGTATTGTTGTATAAAGTATAATATTATAGTTACTAAATTACGCTATGCAATAATATAATACCAGGTGATTTATTTTAGTGGGTACACTCATCATCTTGGAAAGTATTAACTTTTTCCGGGATTCGTTATCTAGAACACTTAAGAAACAAGCTGCTCCACAATTTTATATTTGTGTTATTTTTTGTCACCCTTATTTTTGAGGGCAAAATCACTATCTACTTTTGATTTTAAAATGGTAACGTAAATTAAAAAGTCCATAAATAGATTGAGTAGTAGTAAAATTAATTTAGTGTTGAAATTTTTGATTTCTATCAAGCCGTTGACAAGATAAACCACTTTTAATTTTAGTTTGGAAGAGAGTAATGGTGTATTATTAATACGCCGTGCATCGTACCACCACACTAATAATACTCCACTTCCCTCCTCTAACCATAACTTAAAAGTGGAATATTTCGTCAACGGATCGACGGAAATAAAAACGTTCAATACTAAATTAATTTTAATTAATACTCAGTCTATTTATGGACTTTTTAATTTAGGGTGCCATTTTAAAATCAAAAGTAGGTAGTGATTTTACCCTCAAAAATAAGAATGATAAATAATAAAATAAATATAAAATTGTAGAGCAGCTTGATTTTTAAATGTTCTAGAAAACAAATTTCGGAAAAAATGTATACTTTCCGAGATAATGAGTGTACCCACTTAGTATACTATACATTATAGTACATTATATAAAATACCCACAATGGACTGATATTTTGAAAATAACTAAAGTAATTTATTGTATATGTACATAATAATTATAATAAAATGTTAGAAACTGTTCTGTTATTACTAAGGATTGAATTTCAATGTATTTATATCTATCTGTTCCGGGTACATTATTTATGAACAAACCGAGTACCTAGTATTACTCGAGTAATAATTTTAGTAAATTTTACCTGGTACCGAGTACCTATTAACCAAATAATAATATCTGATTAACAGTTTCACCACGAACAATAGAATAATAAATTACATAGAAATCAGGTATGGTCCAGTAAACATAATAACGACACCGGGTAACGAGTATATAGTTGGGTACATATAATATCGGATACCCGGTTAGAACTCCATGACTGGGTACCCGGAATATCTCTAATATCTATAGAATTAAATAATACCTATTCGTACTGATTTATTGAACTATATAAATTATACACGTACGTTATGAATTAAAAAAAAAAAAAAAACTATTCATGTGTTAATATCAAATTTCTAATTTCTAATGTATTATTTTATTATTTCTTTTAAAAACATAATTAAAAAAGTTGTCCTAGGTTAATAGGGACGGGTGCAGCCACTGTTTTAAGTAATTTAATGTATATCTGTGAGCAAAAATTGATAACGAAAAAAGGATTTTGAGCGGAGTTCAGTTGACAGTATAGTTGTTTTGTCAACAGTATAATATAATATGTCATATTATAATAAAATAATTGCATCGGCAATATATAAAAAATTCTTTAAAAATATTTGTACAATAATGTATCTATTTTCCCGTTTTCCCTACTGTTTTCCCGTGGTTTTTTTCTAGATTACCCATTTATTGGAAAAACTAGTGAGAAAATAAAAAAATTAAGTCTTTAAAGTACCTCTCTAGTCAGATTTCTTTTTAAAAAAAGTGCCATCATAATAAATTGGAGCAAAATTGCTGGTAGAAAATTTGCACACAGATAAAATAAAAAAAAATAAAAATAAAAAACATCTTTTAAATCATAAGCTTCTTCGCTCCACTTAGAATCTTATAACAGCAATAACCAATAAACATAAAATCATAGTTTTTGAACCAAATTAATATTATTATTTAATAGTTAGTCACTTTAGTGGTTGCAGATAATTATATGCAATACTTTTCATGGATATATCATTGTTTTACAAAGTAATAACCAATTAATTCAGCTTTTTTAGAATAAAAGGATATGTTTAGAAGGAACCTTATTATTCACCAATTTGATAGAATTAACTTTTGAAAAAGGTGATACACTCTATACAACATGAAGCAAGATTTGTTTACAAGTTGTTTACAGGCAGAAGAAAAAACACACATATCATACCAAAACCAATAAATCCCTAAATACACTCTGTATCTTAAATTAATATACTAAATTGTTTAAATATTAGATTCTGAGTTTAGCTAAGAATTTATTGGTTTTATAAAGATGTTTCTTTATTTTTATTTTTTATAATGTGTACAAAAATTCTGCCAGAAATCTTGCTCCGAAATCTACGTGTGGCACCATTTCTGAAAGAAAATGGTGCCACACGTAGATAAATATTTCTGAAAGTAAATATTGTCTAGATGATTTTTTAGGAGGCCATTTTTTAATTTTCCGTGTGGTTTTCATAATATCTGTAAAAAACCAGGATAAAACGTAAGAAAACAGGAAATTTACGAAAATAATGCTTTTAGTATTTTTTCAATTTTGTTATTTGTTGTAATTTTATTAAACATATCCATAGAGATTTGAAATTTGGATAGAAAACTTATATTTACTTTTCCTAGACGTGGTAAAATTTAAAAAAATCTAAGCCATTTTGACCATTTATAGACATTTTAATTTTACGAGTTTTGTACGTAATTTTTATTTTGAAGGTACTCTATGGTAAAAATGTTAGACTTAACAAAAATGCTTAAAAATTTAATAGTTGTTTCTTTAAAAGTCTTACTTTTCGGTCAAAAAAATAAAATTTGAGCCTAATGTAGTATTTTTTTTTATAAAAGAATTTTAACGAATTTGTTGACAAAATCATTTGAGTAAAAAATTATATGAAACAAATCTAATTTTTCAATCTTTTGTTTTGAACATAATATGTATATTGCTAATTTAAGAACGATTGTAAAGTCAGAATTAAGCGGATTGACTAAGTTTCGAAATTATAACTTTTTGAAGTTCTGATATTATGCGGATATTATATATTATGTTAAATAACTCTATATTGATCAATTTTTAATTATGTCTGTTATCGTCTAGTGGCACCAAAAAAATTGTTGTATTTGTTTTCTTTCTGTTACTTAAACAAAGAAAAACTAAGGCATTATAGGTGTTCCTAGAGAAAGGCCATCGCTTACTCTATTTTAATCAAAAAAGTATATTATTATAATGTTGGATTTACTGGGATAAAGTAAATTTATCGTATTATACGGATATTCAACGATAATGGATCGTGTTAAAAGGATTATCCTATAAAGTCTACAAAGCGATGGTCGCTAAACTTTTGGATATGATCAAAATAATATCAATTTTGAATATTATTCGCGACCCGTAATCATTTCTTTTACTAAAGATATTTATCGTATTAATAATAATAATGTATTCAAATAAATATATATTACATATAGTGTAACAATTTACATAAATCAATAAATTTATTATCATAGTACCTACAAGAAAAATTATTATATTGTCAAAAATTGTAATTATTTATTATTTCAATTATGATTATTTGATTAAATTTTATTTTGACAGCTATGGGTGGAACGTATCGTTTCGTTTATAATTTTATTTACGTCTAATGCGAGCGGTTTTAATGTCAATAGCCTCAGTAAATCGTCGCTTGGAAAGATAAAACGAAATAAGAATAATAAGATAAGATAAATAAAAGTTATCGAATTTAATAAAACTGTGAAAATAAGTATTATATTATTTCATTTACTCTTCAGAATTTTCGATTCTAGAACGTACAATTTAGTTTTTGTGCAGCTCGCGCAATATTATTTGCAAATGGGCAACGTGATGAGTAAGTAATGCCGTTATACGCCGGGGTGACGACGATTTTGAACGTTTTTGAAAGTACATTATAACATCCCTTGGGAAATTTTTATCTCGTTCATATTAACTTTTATACAGGAATATATATATATCGATTATATAAAAATTAAGTTAAAATTACCAAAATAGAAAACTCAAAATTACAACAACAAAAAAAGTATTGTAAATTGTAAGAAAGTTTTGATTTTTTTTTTTTTTTCATAGTTATTGAAATAATTTTAGTCTCATAAATTTATGGGCAATGAAAATAATTCATCATCACGAATTTTTTTATTTTTTAAACTATTCGATACTATAGTAAAGACTGCTTTACAGTATGCATGTCATTTTTCAATAAAATGTTGTGTGTATACAACGTATGTTGTATGTAATATACCCTTTGGGAACACTACCGAATTTATAGTAAAAACTCGAGGTGATTTCTTTATACAACTATATTAGAATCTCTATTGAACCGATTTGCGTGATTTCTTTTCCAAATGCAAGGGTACTGTGTTTCAATGAATCCGAAAACTAATTAATCATAGAATTATTAGAAATATTATTTGTCCGTGTAGTTTCGTAACGACGAGTATTGTTTGCACGTAACATATTAACGACTCCCATTACTCCTACATGTACAGCTTTTTTGCTGAAGTTTTAATTTATTTGGTTAGTAAGTAATCGTAAGAAAATCGTAAATATTACGGTTTTTCAAAACATGCACAACCGAACTTCGCTTCAAATCGTTATTTGTTGGCAACGATGTTACCGTTGCTTACAGATATTAATTGAATAACTTTCTGTGTCTTATATACTGTCCCGTGTTCCCATCTAAAACTGTGACACCCTATCCATACACCCGTCCCCAAGTATCAATTTTTTTTTATTTGTGGTTTACCGCGTTGACACGAATGAAACAAAAAACAATTATTAATAATTAATTTGTTTGTTACAGACAAGTGAGTATAGATAATATATTATACAAAAGATAAACTCCCGGGCAACAACAATTAACAACTATGTGACAGGGATAATGGTGGAAACGGTGGGACACGTCGATTATTGATTTTATTATTCGTTTCTGTTTTCGAAGGAAACGGACCCGGGAAATAACGGGTTGTACAGTTAGTTTTTATAATATTAATATACAGGTAAAAGTGGCACGGTCGCTGCGTGACGATAGGAGCCGCCCAGTATTCGCGAACCGATATGGGCGGGGCTACGGGGTAACCGTATATACACGATAATATTATGAGCGCGGCCGAGCAACTGCAACGCGAAGTCGCGAATATTGATCGTACATTTCACGTACCCGCAAATTGCACTACTCCAACCCGCGATACAGTGGTCTCAAATGTATACAAAGCTTACATAAAACCGATGTTGGTAATAGGTTAAGCGTGAAAAACGCGTTTACGTGACATGTACAATACACCACGTATTCCACTTTTTATACGTTATACACGCATATAATACATCACTATTAAACGTATAAAATCACTGAAATTAATAAAACTAAATCATATGTGGGTATATACATTTTTTCCTTTATGTAATTTACAATTAGTCAATGTGCATTAAGTATAGGTAACTATATACTATATATACTTTTGATTTTAGCTAATAATAACCATCAACTTCGTTTAGAACTTTTTTTTTTTAATAATTTATGTATTTTCAATTTAGTATTGGTATAGTAATAATGTTGTCGTCGTCTTTCAGAACCGTACGATTTCGATCGCCGAAAGATAATAAATATGTAATTAAATTTAATTCAAAATCATATTCTATTCGTATTCTTTTAAATTACAGATACTCATAAATTATTATAATACATTTTATGTCTGTGTAAAAAGGCTCGTTAAATACAAATATATGTATATAATAATATGTCGTTTTACATATTATTATAAATAAAACAAAAATCCGAAAATCCGTATACAACCAAAATTTGAAGAAAAAAATAAATCTTAATACTTATATATATATATATATATAAGACAAATTTAATCATAAATTGATTTACGATTTTGACGTACGTGTTATAAATGTATACTATCGGATTAAATCTGAAGTTCTGTGTTCAAATGATTGAAATTATATTCGAACTCTATTGTTAACTAAACAGTTCTAAAACTAGTATTGTAAAAGTAGCTTCTGTATTTGTTTTATTTTATTATTATAATTTATACATATATTTTAACCGATTTACGGTCAATGAAAGTATGGTGCATATTGGCACACTGTAATTCAAATGTCGCGCCACAGTCGGCTGAAATGAAAACTAGCTCGCATAATTTAATACAAGAATACTAATTTAATTTTAACAATTTTTTAAATATTTTATATTAATGTGTAAGTTTTAAAAGTCATTGAACCCAAATTTTGCATCAGCATTTTAATTGGTTCTTAATTAAGGGGACTAGAGGGGGCAGTTTTTTTTTAAAGACCGCTGAAATTAAAAATCTACAAAATATTAGGAACATTTAAAGATAAATACATTTTAAGTACGTATACCACTAATTTACATCTTAATATTTAAATATTCTAATCGATTTTGTTAAATTGAAAACAATAATAAAGATTGAACTTCATTTGAAGATTCTCAAATTTTCTTTTTAGTGTAGTTTTCTTCAACTTGAATTATATGAATATTATATCAAATAAAATAATATTCAGCGACCTTTAAAACATATAAGTGAATGTAAAATATTTTAAATAATCGTTAAAATATAAAACTTTCCTCCTATAGCCCCCCTTAATTAGGGGTCAATCAAAAACTGATGCAAAATATGGATTCAGTGACCCTTATAACTTATACATTAATCTAATACATTTAAAAAATGGTTGAAATTTAAAACTATGCCCTCTAGCCCCCGTAATTAGGGGCTTATCAATAAAACTTATTCAAAATTTGGATTCAGTGACTCTTATGACTCATAAATTGATCTAATACGTTTAAAAACTGCTAAAAAAAAAAGAGTTATTAATTTATGCGAGATAATTTTCATTTTAGCCCACTGTGTGCCGGGTCTCTACAGAATAAATTGACGAGCAACCCACTCCCCCAGGTTCGCACACGTACGAGTTAATATGGGCGTGGCAGCCCAAACGGCTTTTTCTAAAATATAATATACCGTTCGAGCGAAAAAACGGTTCGTTTCGGTAGCACTCGTCGACGAATATTTACAATTATCCTCACGGATAATAATATATTACCTTGGCTGATATTAGCGCAGTGAACGGAAATCTTTTTAACTAAAATGTACTGAACCGTTTCGCGCCCAAATATAAGTTTATCGCTACATCTGCCGCCGCCACTGCCCGCTACTTCGACCCCACGTTTTATATTTGTTTACAATTCGGGAGCGCCGATGTCGTTGTTCGGAACCGCACTTTCTGATCGACGGTTTAAAAATAAAATAATATTCAATTATATATATAGGTAATAGGTAAAATACTTGTACAATTCTAGCACGTAAAATATGGATAGGTATACTTAAATAATTAAACATAATTTAAATATCATTAAACACTGAAATTTTAACTGTATAATAATAATGGATATACACTTATAACAAGGTAATTTACCAATAGTTCAAGTACTATACACTGTATATTACGATAAATTTACGGGAATAAACTAATGTAATTGACATATTATACCTAAATCGGAGTATAATATCTACCTATTCAAAATATACATAATTAATAATTCTCATAATTTTTAACAAAATTTAGACATCAAACATTAAATATTCCCGTTCTTTCTAACTTATTTTCGGTTTCCCAATGTTGTTTGGAAAAAAAGTACAAAGTAAATTAAAACATTATTAACATAATATCAAAATTTGTTAAACGAATAGTATTCACTACAACAAAAATAACAACTCGGTATCTTAGTGAGTTTACGTCAGCTCAACAATGCAATAAAAATAAAGTGATCCTAAGAAATACGAAAGCATCCTATTTACTATCTACTTTAAAATTAATAAAAACGTAATTCCGTTCGATTAATGTACTCATTTTTAAGTTTATTATTTCTATTACTATAACTTATATTACCTAACGTTAGTATTAACTGCAGCATTAATTTTAACATAATTTATTTTCCATATAGTAATAGCTATTCGCGTCCGTTATACTAATAATCTGAAGTTATTCCTATGATCATAATGTGATGTGTTGTTTTAATTTTAAAATAAACCCAACAAATTTCGAAATCTAAATGAAAAGAAAAGACACATGATTTGAATGTAATAACATTATCATCGTACTATAAAAAATTAAATTTAAATTAATCGAACGTTTATTATCCTAACCGTATTGTCCATTTAAACCTATACTAGTCATTTGTATAATATAATAAATTCATCGATAAAAAAAAAAATCCGAAATATTTACCGATAAATGATAATATTATATTCTAGGCGTTACGACGAAAAAAAATTAGACTTACATGCTCTTCACCAACCCAACGATCGCTGATACTGGATCTTACTATACTACGTCTTCAATAACGCTTTTGACGACTTCGGAACGACTCATGGCGGCAGGACGCGAAAAAATGCTAACGGATAGTCTGACGCGTGCAGAGCGCACGCTTAAAGCAGAAGCTGTCGTTTCCCACGGACTGTTTCAGCGACAACGGCGGGCGGTGGCTGTATGTATACAGGGGTGCGGGCAGCTGGAAAACCGGAAGGAACAATGAACGGATCGCGGTCCCGTTGCCTGGGTGTTTCGCAAAGGGGCGGCGGCTATGGGCGGTGCCCTAGTGGCTATGCGAAAAGTTCGGCCTTCCCCTAGGCAACCGACGGGCGCACGGTTACGGACTACGCGGATTGCGGTTTACCGGATGTAGGCAGTGGACGCGCGCGAGCCATTCTAATACGCCTACTCATCCGACAGGAAAATCGATTATGTTTCACGCAGCGCCGCCGCTGTGTGAATGTTATGCGACGGAGTATTGTCACCAAATTCAGATAGTGTACGGCGGGTTCGAATGTGTATACCTTTATACCTGAAGTACGGGACAGTTACAATGTGGAGCACACCCGCCCATGGTTTTTAGTGTACGGACTGACGGGGGTGGGAGGCGACGATATAGTTCGAATCGACGCGAAACGTTTACGTGTATACTGCACGGACGACCGAACATAATGTCTATAATAATAATAATAATGCGGTATACCTACCCGCCTTACCCTACCACCATGATAACAATAATAGCTCTTGTAGAGGTTAGATTTCACCCGAAACCGATGGCGTTCCGTAGACCGATACAATACTACACAGTTTACAATAATGTATAGGCATTCTTATTATATACCTATATGCTTATTTGATCACGGTTGAATAATACGCAGCGAGAATGTTCTGGAAAACGGAGAATGTTCGATATTATTTTATTTTATTTTTTTCTTCGAAATTTCGTAGCGAAATAAGACTTGGAAAAATAAGCCAAAAATTTAAATTCTCGAAATTGCATGTTTTAGATTTGAAAAATGCGCGCATACATTGATGCATATTCTCGTACATAATACCGTGTCCTAACTGAAGTGTCTGGACGATGCGGTGCGTGTGTTGCAGAAAAAAAACAAATCCGGTGAGATAAATATGGATGTCTTAATACAACCGCAAAAATATGAGGTGCGTTAAAATTGTCCGTACCGCACCACATGTTAGTTTGATAATTAAATAAGTTTGATTTTATCTTGGGGTGCGGTAACCAAGACGACCAGTAATATGAGTAACTAAAATATTAATATTTCGTTTGAAATTAATACACGGTGCCTACAGTCACAAAGAGTCTCATTTCAGTAGTAAAAAAAAACAGGCGTATTTTATGGGATAAATTCCATTAACAATTTAAAGGTAGAATAAAAGTTTTTAGAGGGTAGAAACTGTAGAAAAGAATTATGTAGGTATACCAAGTAAGTCCCAAAGTAATAAAATATCGTCTTCGCGTGATTGTGGGTAAAAATGATGATATTCACCAAAAGTAAAACGATTTTTATATTATATACAGTATTAACATAATTTCTTTTATTTCATTTTTTTAAACGTATATACTTCAATCATAGGTTTTCCGAAAGCAGTAACTTTTGTTGTATATCCGTTAGTGGTATATTAATAAATGTCAAAGGAATACAAATTTACCCGTTAACGAAAAAATCGTATTTAATTTTGCCATATTAAAAATAACACACAGCTGTTTAAGGTAGATATGCCATTAACGGATATACAACGAAATTTGTTGCAATCCGAAAACCTATGGCTGTAGTATATAGGTTTGAACTGCGTCATCCGGATTCAGGCGTTACGGTCGTAACTCGTTGAGTTTTTAAATCTAGAAAAAACGATTATTGTAATGCTAATCAAGAGTCTGCTCACACGTTTTTACACGTTATTGATAAACAAATACAAATAACTTGTTAAAAATAAAACACACAGTTGTTTAAACAGAAATGCATACGTGATAGTTTATTAACAAAATCGACTTAAATGGCCTTAGGCCTTATACATTTTAGTAGGTATTCTTTGCAAACAAACTGTATTTATAATAACTTGTGTATATAAATTATGTATGTATATTATATAAAATACGATGAAACCGAAAATGACTATAGTAGGAAGAAAAGTATTTACGTTGTACGGAACCCGCGTCTTGCGTTACCTACATACGGACGACCGGTTATTGGGCCACAATCAACCTTTTTATTTTCCACAAAGGTAATTTGACCGCGAACATTTTTCATTTATAATAGGTAGTTAACCCGGTGATTGGGTCACAATTTTAAATGAGTTTTTTTTTATATTTTACATTTTGAATCCGCTAATTGAGCCACTGCGATTATATTACGTGCGTCAGGTTATAGGCGCACACGGTTTCAATCGAATAATATTAATAAATATTATAATTACTATATCACTATATGTTGCAACGCACACGAAACGTTACACAGAGTGACGAGTGCCTTATCGAAATGTAAAAATTTCCCGACATTAAAATATGATACCTACTGAATTATGACGGTGCACCGACACAGTGGCTGTCGGTTATTATGAAATGCAATGGATAAAAATATCTCTAAGGCCTTGTTTACACGTGACGAGTACTCGGCCGTGTCACTCGTTATGTTGCTCGGTCTAGTACCGGAATTGACCGAGTGAAGCGTTTACACACATTGTATTTGTTTGGCCGAGTGACTACCCCACATATATATTCACAACTACTGAACTACTCGTTCCACGACACTCGGCTAGCGGTTTAGACACGCCGAGTACCATACATCTTGGTAGTGGCGGTAGTCACTCGGCCCAGCGAATAGAAACTGTTTCTATTTACTCGCCCGCTTATTTTACTCGTCCGATTACTAAGCCGAGTACTGGTTCCTTGAGTTCACTTGGGACAGTGCTCGGCCGAGTACTCGTCACGTGTAAACAAGGCATAAGCGTATTTTACAAAGATTACGAAACACCACGATCAATTATTACTCGCAGACCGTGCATTCGAAGTTTATTATTGTTAATCATATATTTTTTCGTCAGAAGTCCAATTACTATAATTCTACATTATAATTAAAAGCTTTTAGACACGTTTAAAGTCTGGAAACGGACTTTTATTTGAAATAAAATAATTGGAGAAAAAATAATAAATAAATTATAGTTTCAATTATAGTTTTAATACTCAAAAATAAAACATTTCAGTTCAGATTAATACCGGTTTTAAGCTTATTCATAAGACTTTTGTTTCTTATTTTATTTTTAAGAATTCACTATGTAAAATACAATTATATTCATGTAACTATTTAAGGACGTTTCACTAATTCTAAACATTAGTAAGAATTTAAAAAGTATTACTAGGTAGCAATAGGAAGCATATAATATTATGTCTCTGTCTATCAAATATTAAACACATAATCTATAAATAATTTGATATTTCATACAGGTTATATTGCTATTATGGTCATAATTAAGAAAAACGATAACGGCCGCTAATTCAGACTCGACAGTCAGTCAGTTCAGTCAGTTCATCAGTTCAGACTTGTCACCCGAATGTTTCACTCATAATATTGAACTTCAAAGTCGGGTTTATGAAATTTATAGCGTCCCCGATGCAATCTACATTTGTTATGAAATAATAATAATTACCTTCTACGAGCTATTTATCGATTACATGGAAATTACAATTTATAAATACCTATATGTTTTATGGCAACAACTGCAGCCTGTAGGACACATAATAATACGACAGTAATAATACTCTTGTTGTTGATAATATACTTATACTTGACACTTCTACAGATCTATAATTTTATAACAATTAGTTATAATAATAACTAATAATTAACTATACTATTTGTTATAAATATATAAGCTATTAATTGGAATTTGGAACCGAAAATAACCGAAAAACCTAACATTAAAATAAGAGTTTCGGTTTCGGTTCATAAAAAAAAAGTGTTTAAGGGTTCCTATCAGTTTCCGGTTCTACGACTTTAAAAAGGTTTCGGTCTTTAACCCGTCTCTTTCGGAACAGTCTTTAAAGGTTCCAGTCCCTGTTATGGGTAAGAAACCATTGTAAATAGGAAATCAACTTTCTAAATCACCAACACTAGATTGAACTCGGACATTGGGAGTATATTAAATTCCTAATACATTTAATATACCTAACCGTTTATTAGACTAAAACGTTTTAATTGTCAAATAAATTCAGCCGTACTCTATACCATATATTCCCCTTGAATTGGTATCGGATAGTAGATAAGTGGTAAAGCAATTTCATTAAGGTGGTTGTAAAATGGTAAAAAGTAATTTGTAAATTTAACAAAATTTAGAATATTTGCTCTGATCCCTTTAAGTTATTACATCAATCGCACAATCTTTTTTTTATAATATTATTTTCTAGACTAATTTCAAATCTGGAACTTATATAAGTATATTTTTACTACGTTTAGCACTTAGTTTTTTATAATAATATGTTGGTACATGAACAAAATTATCATTTTTTTCTCCAGCAACAAGGTTGAAGATTATTTATATCCTTATCCGCATAATTTATTAAATATTGTTAAGTATCTCGTATTTTCGTCTTGATAAATACAATTATTCTAGCAACTATGTATTAATCTTTATCCATACTAGATATTTTAAAACTAATATTTATACATCATTATTTCTGAACAAATGAAATATGCTGTATAATGTATGTTTTGCTTTCTCTTTTTGATGCAAAACAATATCTCCGCCGTGGTATCGTACAGAATCCCGTCACCCGCCCGCCGCGAGTTCGTGAGTCAACGTTACGATCGATACGTCCCCGCGGGATTTGGCCGCGTGGCGGAGAGCAACTGCGCCGCAGCCGCCGCGAAAGCCGTTGACGATATCACGGGATGTCAATCACCAATCGCGAGACGTCGTCCGTAATGGCGTCTATACTGTTCTGAGCGGAACAAAAGGACAACTTAATAATACAATAATAATGAATTATATTATTTTAGTGTGGTAAACTCTCCCTCGTCTCCTGAAGAATAATAAATCGAATAAAAGCCGCGGACCGTCGAGCGAAATAACGGATTAGTCCATCCATCCCTTCGTTTATCTCTAACGTAGTGAACTGTCGTTTTTATTTCTATAAAATATTACAAACACCTGTGAAAACATAAAATTAATCGGAAAATTGTGAGTAGCGTTATAATGTAATAATATATGTATAGTTAACAAAAAAAGGCGAACTTATTACCTCACATACGTATTGGATGGGCCTCTAAACACTATACTGGATAGTTTAGTTTATTTGTGAGTTTATATGCTGAGCGAAGTTCGGTTAATTTAATTTTATCGTAAATATTGCATTATTTGTTTTATCAGTAATTACCACAAAACTCACAATGTCTAGCGTTTTTGGTTGGAGTAAAATTTCTGGTAGAAAAGTAAATACCTAGCTATTAACAAATAAAAAAAAATCTCATATCAGAAAACAATCAATATATCCTCGCTGCACTCAGAACTTGAAACGTTTATAAATACGTGACTACCCCTGTCATTAAATAATTAACTACCGAAATCTCAACACGAGATCGTTTACCGAAAAACAAGTTAACTTCTGATAATGTTCACGAAAGAACTCCATTAAATTATTTTTCCTCCGGATACGATCATGTTCACGTCCCTATAAAATAATGAATATATTTATTTTCAAGTATATTATCACTATAATTATTATTCTGACAATCAGTACTCGTTCCGCTTCACAAAAACGAAAATATCTTTAAATTTTCGAAGATAAATGTATTCACCAAGTATCTATCTATAGCTGAAAAGTCATACTGTTACGACCACTGTTAGACGTCCGAGGTTATAAAATAATAAATTTGACCCCTCCATCCGTGTTATTTATTCAGTTGTATTTTATTACACGGTCGGTTTGTTTTCGTGATTTATACTGGTCACGCCAGTTGTGTCCACTTAGGTAACACGGACAAAGGGCGTGACTTGTATATGTCACATCCATAAAGTGAAATCACTAATTTCATGAATTGGACATCCAGATAGTGAAATTCGTCCAGATCGTGAATTTTGGTGAATTTCATGAACCGGAAATCAATTTCATGAAATAGACAATACCTATACCAGATGGCAATTAGAACATGTTGATATTGTTACAGTATGTTTTTTACATGTTTCTAACAATATCAGTTAAAACATACTGTGAGAACATGTTGAAAATATGTTATAAGTATTTATTTTAAAATAATGTAAATTAAATATTATAGGCATATGTTTTTTCATGTTCTAAATGATATTTAAAACAACATAATCCAATCATATTGTAATTTAAACAATTATTAATAATAATATTGTAATAATATTTAGAATAATTACTGTCACTTTTTGAATATTTTCCATTATAATAAGCAGTGTTGAATCCAGACAATTTGTGTGGGGGGGAGCAGTACTAAGATATAGTTATGACCATTTTTTAAATTTTATTTCTATCTTAATCGTTATACAACGCTGAACCTGGAGATTTCATAAAATATATTTAAATTTTTCTTGTTAAGCGGTTGAATAACTCGTAATATAATATTAATTTAGTAATATTTCAAAGTAGATAGAACTATAAAAACTATAAAACTATAAAATATACGTCTTACCTACTTTAAAAAATTTTTAATTATTATCAGAAATTCTTTTACAGATTAGGAGTTTTTTTTTTTTAGAAACAAATTTTTGATTACTAAAAATGTTTCGATTTATTAACCTCAAAAGAATTTGTCTTCCAGTGGTAAATTATTCGAAAAATTTTCTAAATCTATTAGAAGTTCATCCCCGAGATTTTTTCAGGGAACTTTTTTACTAGGAAATTACTTTTTTAAATATTCTTAAATTTTTAAGATTTCAAAGATGTAAATGTTTGCATCCGACGGGGTACTTTATTTGAATTTTTTTCTAAATCCCAACGGCTTTCTAAACAATTATTTCAAAAACCGACAACAATAATTGACGACCAACGTCACGTTGGTAATACTGAAGTTAATTTTTGGGTTACCTATGGCTACAAATAGAAAATAAAACATAACTCATACCGTAAACTTACCAATTTATAAAACTCCGCTCAGAATCAATTTAGTTTTTTAAGAAAATTATTTATCTTTGTGTTCTGTGTATTTACTTTCTATCATACATACCATATAAACTTTCCCCCTATAATATAAAACAGTAGTCTACCAGTGATGAGAAGTATGTCCGGTTTTGAATGATTTATTTTGATGATTTTAAGTGCCGCGGCTGCTATGTTATAATGTTTTGAACCTTGTCACCTGGCAAAAAGATCAATATAATATGCTTACGCTTTGCAATTTTATACATCAAACAGTTCGAATATCCATTATGATTGTATACAATGTTGAAATAATAATTAATTATAATTGGTGTGAACAATAACAGATGCTATTCTGACGTAGGGGAGTGCCGCCCTCGACATCTGCGTCGTACTACACACTCTCTGTATTTTTATCGAATTATGGTAATATAATATATTTGAGAGGAGATCCTGTCAATTTGGTGCCGCTGTATGCCTGTACCAAGGTTTTATTGAGGGTTGTTCAACAATAACTAAACAGGGGTGATTGATTATACTTAGGTATAGGTAATATAAGCCCGAGTTATACATCTGTGGACCACTGAACTTAAGGCATTTTTTTTCCAGCTGTCGTATAAAGGGTAAACTTTATTTTTTTATCAAAACTCAGTGATTTTAAGTAAATTCGTTTTTGGTTTTTTTTTTTTAAATTGCTTAAGCTTAGAAATATAGACAAGGGGGAATGATGATTTTGGGTCAATTCTATGTTTGAGGTTTGAAATATGTTCACGAAATCACTGTAGATTGGTTAAATGAATTCCATAAATATATTTAGATGAAAATTCTTCCCTCATCTATGATCTAAATTTTAAACTTGTATAAAATGTATAACTATAATTCATAAAATAAAAAATCTAAATTAGTATTGTAGGTAATTCATAGATAATCGCAGGAACATGATAAAAATGTTTAATATGTTTTTTGTGGAGAACGGAACGATAGTAATAATTGGAATACAAATATCAAATAATAAAATTAATATTTATTCTTTTAAAGTATTCGCTTTCAATATCTCGTTTTTAATAGGTTGTATGAATTCAAAGAAAAATATTGTTTTGTGCGTCCAACTCGTTCCCTCTATTAATTTATATTGTACAGACGATATGCGGATAAAAACTTCACCCTTCTAGAACTACCCCACGATTGCATTATCATATAAATCTAAAAATTCGACATACACATCATATTAAGGGTGAACTGGTTTTGAATAAAAGCCTGCATAAAAAGCGAATCAAAATTGCATGCTGTTATTGTTTTACACTCAACGCGTTAATTTGTATAGGCTATTTTCCTTTTTTTTAAATGTATGCAGTGAGAAATATATTCATAAATGCTGACATGCTCAATAACTGGGAAAATGTAAACGTGTACAGAAATAACAATAACTTTATTTTTGATTTTGTTTTATTGTTGTAATTTAGAAAAAAAATAATCATTGAATTTGATAAAAACAGCACTTGATTTGATATACAAAATATACCCGGGCCCAAATATTTACATAAAAAATTTAAAACGGGATGCATTATACAGCAAAAATTATTTTGAATAAAACATAAAATAAACATCAACGAGAAAAAATGGCACATTAGTATTGCCAAAACGCTTAGAAAATGTACATATACGTTTTATTTCGGAATTTAAAGTTAAATATTTTAACTATATTACTATAATAAACATAATTAGAAAAAGTGATACCATTTTCCCGTTCTTTCTACGTTTTGTTCTAGATATGCTCAATTATTAAGAAAACTACACGGAAAATCATAAATTATAATTTTATTTCAGATTTGGAGCATAGTGTGGGATCTAGTGCCTTTTCTGAAAAATAATTTTATCTCGTTAGTGCATTGAAAAGGTCATTTTTCTATTTTCTAAGGAGTTTTCGAAATAATCGTTATAAATCTGAAAGAAAAGTAAAGTTAAAACGGCAACGCTATGTCCCGGTTTCGTTATTTTAATTTGTTCAACTTATGTATTTTACCAGAAATATTACTCCAATCGAAAAATGACAAGAGGTCGATTTTTTTTTCTTTTAATACATAGCCACATTGATTTTTTTCTTGCATTGATTTTTTGCTAAAATAAATATGCATCTCATTTGTACATTGAACATAAAACGATTACATAAATTAATTTATTAACTTTTTTTATGTTTACTACTACCTATGAACTAATTTTAATTTATGATGAATCGTATACTTAATTGTTTGATATTTTTACAGAGAATTTTTTTGTGAAAAAGCTTTATTCACATAAATCAAAAAATAGTAGTGAGCAGTGGTAGCTAGTGGTATTAAAATGTATAGTCAGTAGTAGTAGCCTATGGTGGAATTTTATTTATTCTGTACCGGTGTATAATATTACAAAGAAATATCAAGTAAAAAAAACACCTGGTTTTTTACTTACTTTTCTGAACGACCGAAAAATGTTTCCTAGACTAAATTTAACCCCCGTTCTGTCCCTCACCCATCCACCTCTAAGTCTTAAAAAAAAAAAACAAATTGAAACAAACAAAGACCGTATTTGTTTCTCTGCTGTACATACACATAAACATTAATTTTTATTATTTTATAAATTAATTTGTCTATCAATAAATATATTCGATGTTAATATTAATATGTATTATGAGTACTGTAACTCGTAGGTATAATAGTTTTAAAATTGGTAATATTTTCGGGTTTTCATAATTATCACATGTTAAACGGGAAAATGTCGTTGGACGGGCCGTAACAAATTTAAAAATGTGTTTTGGTTTTAGACATCGGTAGAGGGTCGTACAATAAAGACGACCGATCACAATAGATAATGGTTTTGTCGTCGTGTGTTACCGTTAAAATGTTTGGAATTCACCAGGTGACCGTGCCAAGGCGATATAAAAGCGACGACGGATTTATTTTTTCTCTGGGTACCTATATGATGCATGAAAATATATTGTATTTACCTAGATACCCAAAACCGCTTCGACCGAAATTCTAGCTGACGCCCGACAAGGCAGGTGGTCGCTTTTGTCACGAATACATACGACGAACCGAAATAATAAATATAACATTTTATACGTCTTTGCTATTCAATGGTCGACAACAATAGGCCAACATGGGATGATTTCGCCAAAGAGAACTCAATACATCTACAACCGCATCCGGCGAACCTTCCGGGAAAAAAATCAATCCTTTGTGTACCCGACTACAACACAATAGATACAAGACATTTGAAATCCAGAGACTGCGTGACCGATCGGTGCCAACACAGTACAACAATACGATTTTTTATACTATCTTACCTGGATATTGTTATTATTTTTATGCGACGCGTTGCGGGACCGTCAGACATCATGGACAATGTACAAAGAGCTGCATATATATATACATACTTACGACAATGAGGAAAACTCCCTATAGGAATAATCGATGGCGATAAAACGAAATAAATCAACACCGGTCGTAAAAATAAGACCTTTTTTTTTCTATACCTATACGATGTTACAGATAATACTTGTTGAGGAATACAATAGGTACATATCCATCTTACCTTTTTTTCGTTTTGACTCAGAGCCGACGTCATGTCGGTAATTCTGATAGAACCACCACTGTACACTTCTATACAACTTACATATATCAAAATGTCTTCAAAATATTCGAATATTGAAGATACATGGATCCATCTGTATTCAAAAATAAATCCGTACTTTTTTTTTCAAATACTTTTTTATGGTTTATGATGAAAAGCACGTTTCTTTTCAAAACATTACCTTTTTTTTTCTTGTTTGTAAGTTGGTACAAAAAACAAAATCCAGAGGGGCACACACCTATTCACTCTTAAATATGCACTTGCAAGGTTATTATTTATTTTTGTAATTATATTGTTTCGATATTTATAATTTATGAAATATCAAAATTGATGTAAAATTATTTTATAATATTATTATATTATTATTTATCAGAACAATAAAAAGTTTCAATAGTATTATAATACTATTTATTAAATTAACTGAAAAAATAAGAAAAACAAGAAAAAAAAACAATGAAAGTAAAATGTATTATATATTTATGACATATGCTTTTAAAAAAAATAAAAGACAGACGTGTGTAATTCGCAGTGCATGAGCAAATCACAGACAGACCATAAACACTGGAATAAATAATTACCCTCATCCAACGCTGCTTTTACCTACCCCACCTACTTTTGGCCATTTAAAATCAGAATTTGTTCAAATACTAAAACTATTGAAATAAACTCAATTTAGCTCGGCTTCTCATTTCAAACTCTAGTACTGTTATTATATCACAGTTAACCATTGTTGCATGATATTACCTATTTATCATTTAAACGAGTTAAGAAGTTCTCGGTTTCGAATAGCATTTTAACAATAAATTTTAATTTCATACATATACTATTTTAGGAAAAAAATAGTAATTTAGTAACTATATTATGCTGATGTTTGGAAACATTGGTAAATTAAATATCTTAATTTATAAATAATTAAGAGCACATTTGCACATTTTTTAAAGTACATTTATTTTGGTATCTAATTTTTTAAATTTTTGCAAACATAAATTTATACTTAGTAATCATAAGTATTTCAGCTAGTAATAACAATACGAGTATTATAATATCATAATATAACTATAACTATATCTATAACTATAAAGCGGCTAATTTGGTATAAGGAAATAAAAGTATATTTAATAAAAATAAAATAAAAGCCCCTGACCAAAAACCACATATATGGAAAAAAAGCTCCGACGAAGGAAAAAAATATTTATCTCACAAAAACTGCAATTAGATATTCTTACAATAACCGATATGGATAAATTGACTATAAATATACTAAAATTATTATTTAAAAACCCCGAGTCCAAATATACAATATAACATATATTTGATACCTATACCTACAACATATTATTTTATACTATTCTATGTAGGGTTTTTCAAGCAATAAATCAGAAAAATAAGATAAATATTTATGTATATAAATAGATTTCCAACAAAAGTATACCTACATCACAATATCCTGTCTAGTACGGTTTTTTCGTTCGTCTATTAGTTTATTATTGTTATTATTATTATTCTTATTATTTTTCCTTGTATAGTTTTTGGTCGGGGGATTTTTTTTATCCTTCCTCAATTCGATTCATTTATGTTCAACCCTTTCGTACATACGTAAATAATACCGACAATAATATCAAAAACCAATAATGTTAATATTAAAGTTACTCCAAGATGGTCACGCGGGTAGCGACGATCTCTTAAGTCATTCTTGTTTTGGATGCAGATAGTGTTTTGGGACGTTTGTTGTAGACGAATCTCTTCAAATGACTGCGACAATTCCATGGCCTCGGCATTTTCGGGATTCCCAGAAATGTGTGGACGACGACCAGACCATCTATTTTCCTCTGAACCAGGTTGCTCGAAATTTTGAACCCACCTTGAAATTCCATATATATTTGGAACGAGAGTGCGAGGAGGAATAAAAAAATGCCGCCCCCACTGACTTAAGGTCTCAATTGCATTTTCACCGTTACGGTAAAAAATCCGCACGACTACTACGCGTACTTGAAGGTCCCCCTGTTCCATTGCTGCTAAATCTTCGGCGTGGTTAGTGTTTTGGGGCACGTGTTGTAGACCACACTCTTCAAGTGAATCCAAAAGTTCCATAGCTTCGACATTTGCGAGAAACCGAGAATTTCGTGGACGATCAGGAGACCTTCTATTTTCCTCTGATTCAATCTGCTCCAAATTTTGACCCCGCGTTCGAGTTCCATAGTTAGTTGGACCTTGAGTACGAGGAGGAAGAATAAAAACCCGTCTCAATTCGCGTATAGTTTGAACCACATTATCACCGTCGCGATAATATACCCGCGTGGGTACTACGCGTCGTTGAACGTTCCACTGTTCCATCGCTACTAAATCTCCGGTGTGACTCTACAACTTGTCGATCTCCTCACATTTTTCCTCCCCTCACAGAGCTACCTAGTGGCGCCGAACTCAAAGTACAGGTCCGGCCACCTCCTGACCTAATTTTTTGGTAGTGGGTGGGTGGGTGGCGCAAGCGCGGTGGTGAGAAATATACATAGTTTGAATAGTATTTATAGAAAATATAACTATAGAAATCATAAATATAATTTTGACACGTTTTTATAGTATTGTATTATATACATCCTACTGTATTGACTTTTTTTTTTTTTTTTTTAAATTGATTACACTTTAAAACGTCTATAATAAACGGATAAAGACTACTAAATATAGTAGACGATATTTTGGCTTTGGCGCCGTCCAATCCGAATGGTCAAATTTAAAGATAACTAAAAATGATGCATAATTGTATTTTTTTGTAGTGAATGTATTTTTATTTTTAACGAGATTTAATAATAATGATACTATAAAATATCTAGATATTTCATTATCACCTGCCTATATGCATTAAAAGACGATTAACAATCAAACGAAAATACAAAAATGTTAAAACGGTTTTTTACATTAACGATACACTGTAAAAGATACCTAACTTCTAATGGTGTTCTCTTGTGAATTTAAATTCTGAGTGGAGCGAAGAACCTTATGATTTTATAAAGATGTTTTTATTTTTTATCGCAGCTTTTCTACCAGAAATCTTGCTTTGATTTTTAAGTGTAGCGCCTTTTCTGAAAGAAAATCGGCATAGGGAGGTACTTCAAGGAAGTCATTTTTCGATGAAGAATTTTTCCAGCAAATGTGAAAACCCAAAAAAAAATATGGGAAAACCGGGAAAAACTTAGGAAAACTGAAAAATTAAATACATTAAACAAATATTATTAAATATAATATATAATGCTTATTTAATTAATTAACCATAATATAATATATATATTGTTGACAAAACAACACTATCAACTGAACTCCTCTTAGAATCGTTTTTTTCGTAATCAATGGTCTATCATTGTTTAAAGATATACATTCAATTACCTAAAATAGTGGCTGCACCCGTTTCCATTATCCGAGGACGTCTTTTACTGGTATGAACCTAAATATAAATTATCAAATTCGCCATTGAAGGGAACACATTGTGTCCATTCTGTATAGTATAATTTATTATGTAACCATTTAAATTAGATATTTTTTCGGAAACAAGACGGTTGTTAGTATTTTTGTAAAGCTTTAGTAAATCTGGCACCACAAAGTTAAAAAAAAAGTAAAAAAATTTCACACAATTTCTACTCCGAGTTGTTGGATATTATTGGGTAATTGTTGGAATTCGTTGGAGTAAATTTAAAAAATGATAGTACATAATAACACAAATTTAAAGTTAGTGTAAAAATTGTGTTTTTTATTTAGTATAGTCAAAATTAATTTTTTAGGCCATTTTTTGAAAGTTATCGTAACTTAAAAGTTTATAATTATTATTTTTTTCGATCATTATACGAAAAATAGGGTATCTTGTTTTGCTGGAGGAGAACAGGCAATTTTAATATGAATAAATGATAATATATTGTATTTATTTATTTAATATAGTAAAAACTTATTTGTTGGATCGTTTTTGAAAGTTGTTGGAGTGTGCGAAAAAATCTTTTTTTATTTTATACTTGTACACGTATATTACATACTTTTATAGGTTGACGTGTGGTGTTGAAGGAAAACAGGCATTTAAAACATGAATTTATTTGTTAAAGTGATTTATTTTTTTATACAATGGTCGAAAATAATTTGTTGTACCATTTCAATATTGTTCCATGCAATATGGTGTTAACTGCCCAGCACCACATTTTCTTTTATTCACAAAGCTTTTATTATTGTCCAACATTTTCCAAAAATGTCCAAAAATCCCATGTCAATATTGTTGAATGAGTTTTTCAAACTTTATAGCTCAATGTGGTGTTAGTAATTTATATGCCACCACAAATTTCGAATTTGAATAACTTTTAAAATTTTCTTCAACAAATTCTAACAACTATCCAATAATAATATTCAAAAACACAGAGTAAAGAAGGTTGGAATATTTTCAAGGTTTTCAAGTTATGGCGTCGGCGAAAAAATATAAATTCATTTATACATACCTATATAATATAAATGTAAGTATTTTCCGATATATTCAAATTTATATTTAAAAAAATAATAACTCGATTGTATCACTCTCTTGGCGCCTTCTGATGAATCTTTATTTATTAATTTTCTATCAGAATGAAAATTTCAATTTTGGGACGACTTACACGGAATATCTTACTGATTATTCATTTTTTTGTTTTTTAATTTCATCCGTATCACCAAGGTAACCCATAAATCAACAAAAAAAAGTCGCTGTACTAAAAATACCAATTACTCTGTGTCAACTACCCTTGCAATGCCACCTATTAGGTCCAATTATGAATCTAAACCATCCGGGGACCCATTCAGACAAACATAAAAAATTTCGTCAAAATCAGTCTAGCCGTTTAGGAGTTCAGTGACATAAACACGTACAGTAGAATTATATATATAAAAATAAAGCTACAAAATATGAAAAAAAATACAAAAATGCTTAAGATTCTATTGTATTCCTAGTTTTTTTTATTTTAATTATTCAGTTACTATCTGAAAATTCATATTTGTATAGGTTATTGATTGGATTTTTTAAAGGTTCAATAATAAAAAATAAATAACATTTTAACAGGAAACTTATATTTAAATTTTCAAATTTTCAAAACACTTGAACCATTTATGAAGTAATTATAATCAATTTAATCTTGCGAGTTTTTATCGTAATTTGTATGGTTACAATTATTAAACAAAACATAAATACCTGAATATTTGACAAGAGGTTATCTTTAAGTTGTACTTAGTGGTCAAAAAAAAAAAAAAAGTGTGTAGTAATGTAGTACTTTTTATTTTTTTTATGAGAGTTTTTAATATTAATTATTTACAAAAATCTCTAATATTATGTTCTTTCAAAAAATTGCGTAACCGATACTCCCTCCGAATCGTTTTTCGTTGGCAATTTATTGTGGTAAAAAAGTTGTTCGCAGGAAAAAAAAGGCCGTAAAATTTTTCTAAAGTACCATGGAGATAAAATTTCCTTTCAGAAAATAAGTTGCACTTGATACATCGGAGCAAGTTTACCGGTAGAGAAGTTTACACATTAAATCGAGGGGTATTTTTGATTAAAATTGTCCAAGTGAGCGATGGCTTGAATTTCTAGGTGCATCCAAAATGCATTTGTTTTTTCCTTGTCTAAGTAAAAGAAAAAAAATGCAAAACATTTTGTTTGAAACCCAGGTTTGAACTCGGGACCTCTAGGATGATAATAGACATTATGTGTAAACATTAGATACGACAAATATTCTTTAAGAGAGACAATATAGAATTATTTAACATAAAATATAATATCCACATAATATCAAAACTTCAAAAAGCTATAATTTCGAATTTTAGTTCAACTGTTAAACAAAAAGTATTATTAAATATTATATTAATTAAGGTTCTTTACCATCATCAAAATTTTAAAAAAAGGATATACTTCGCACGTGGATGATCTACTGTTGCAGATAAGAAGTCGGGAAGGTAGAGAGAAAATTTGATGTATATTTGTTTTGTACTCAACGAATGATAAACCATTGCTAATGCAAAACAATTCTGAGCGGATTTAGATTTATAGTGTTGTTTTATCAACAATATATATGTCACATTATGTTAAAATAATTACATAATATGCATTATATATTTTCTTTAATAATATTTATTTAAGATTGTATCCATTTTTCTGTTTTTCTCGTGTTTTTTCCCATTTATTGGGAAAATCAAACAATAACCTTTCTAAACCACCTCAATCAGATTTCCTTTCTAAAAAAGTGCTATCATTGTAAACGGGAGCAAAGTTGCTGATAGAAAAGATTTTGTAGGTGGGAAATTGGAAAAGTAGGATAAATAAATGTATTCAATTTATGCTTGTAACGGTTGTCTCTTAGTAGTTTGATGTGGTAGTACGATAATATTTTCTTTTTGATGTAGTCACCCTACCTATTGTAAATGGATACTAAATATGTGATTTCATACCTCTGTTAGTATATATAGTGTAGAATATATATATATATATATTTATAGTATATATTATATGTATAATTATGTAGATATATGTATATAAAATTGTCTACTTTAAATAAAAATTTCAATTGATTAGATAGAATTTTGACTGCAGATTTCATTTTATCGGAAACCAGACAATTATATTAGTAAAAGTATTGATTTTTAAAGAGGTGTACAATTTTAATCTCGTTTCATCCGCTGTATACACAATAACTCAGGTCGCCGCCGAAAATGTGTGACGAGAATAATTGTATGCGTTTAATAATCCTACAGCGTCCCGTTTCTACCGTGCTAGGTATATTATAGTATAAATTATATACACATTAAATTAAAACAAGCATTTTTGTGTGCGCTATAGACCGTCGCTTCATACACAAGGAAGCGACCAACGACATTACCTAGAGTTAATCGCTAGGCCTATAATCAATTTTAAGATTATACTTGTCCTCTTCGAATTGCATAATTTTTAGGAGCTTATCCCTCCTAATGAAGCCACTGGAAATAAAAAATTCTACGAAAATCCTTGCTCCGATATGTACGCGTGGCATCATTTCTGAAAGGAAATATTGTCCATATAGTACTTTTGAGAGGTAATTTTTTGATTTTCCAAGCAGTTTTCATAATATCTTGGAAAAACCAGGAAAAAACATTAAAAAAAAAAGGAAATTTACGAAAATAATACATTTATTACTTTTTCAATTTTGTTAATTGTTGTAATTCAGTTAAAAATATTAGTAGATTTAAAACTATGACAGAAAACTTATATTTGGCTTTTCAAGACATGATACAATTTTAAAAAACATTTCAGCCATTTTAAGGCTTTTTAAAAAAGTTAAATTTTGCGAATTTTATAGGAAATTTTTGTT